ATATGCTGATAAAATTTCAAAATAATAAAAAAAATTTCTAATTGCAAAATTTAGAAAAAAAAAATTTTATTTAACCATGATCAAATTTATAATAATTTGCAGAATTTTTTTTTTTAAACAATTATAAATAGTTTTATATTTTTCTATAAAATTATTAAAATTATTAAAATAGACTTGATTGGGAACAAATTAAGAACGCTTTGATTTTCGAAAGATTATCCCTGTTTCTTTGAGAAAACGAAAAGCGCTTTCAAATTAAAATCTCCGAATTCATATTAGAAAAAATAGAAGAGATATAGATTTTTATATTTATACCCGAATACACTAAGTACATGGATATAAGTAACGTTTTAATTTTAATCTACAAACATTAATTTTCCAATATAATTAAATATCTATAAAATTATAATTGTGTTAATAACATTTATTTTAATAACTGTAATTATAAAAAGTATAATTAATATTAATTGCACGTCCTTAATAAGAAAATTACACACTTTATACGAAATATAATAAATCAAAATATAAAATAGTTTTATGTCCTAAAACTTTTCTTTATTTGCTACATAAATTTTAATTTCAATTAACATTGTGAGTATTACATTAATTAATACATTAAGTCAATTGAATAAAACTTCTATACTACAAAGTTTATAAGCAGATTTCCTGAATTACTATACACATACACACAATATTTCTGCATCAATATTACAAATTGAAATCAAAACCATTGAAAAAAGAAAAAAATAAAACTTTTCATCTGAAAATAATATTGTATAAATGCGTTCCAAATCAACATCAAAAAAATGTAATTCACATATTAAAGTAGTTTAAGTAGGTACTTTAAAAAAAAGAATTATTTTGGCCATCAGTGAATATTGGATTTATTAAAAGAATTGGGGGATCGTCATTTTTATTTTGCCACATCTTTTTTATTTTTTGTTATTTTTTTTTTTTCTTTAATAGTGTAATGTATGTATATATTTACGTTATTATAAATATCTCTTAAGTTAATAGGATTCGATTACTTAGTTACGTACATAAATTATGTACGTAATAATTTCAAGTGGTATTATAAAATTGAATATACGAAAAAATCTATTTAAAATTGCATAAACATAAGAAAATTTCAATAATTCAATATGTTAATTGATGTAACGTAAATATTATGAGAAATCCGCCATATTGGATATAAAAATGTTAAACAAATTTTCTAAAAATATTTGTTAAAAATTCAATCCTAAACAAATTTTATGCCATTTTTAACTTTAAATCTTTATGAAATGTACTAATTTGGAAAATTTTTTTCCGGATGCTTCCACACTTAATTTTTCTTTGTTAAATAATTATTCATAAAATTAAAAAATTCTTTCCTATTTTTAACTTTACTTTTAGTTTTTTAATTAAAATTCCTAAATTAATAATTGGACTAGCTTATTTCATTTTTAAATATTTATTGATTTGTTTGTATTATGAGCGATTCCACCTATAGTTTCCCTATAATGTTCAAAACTCAATATAATATGTATATAGGTAATGTACTCGTACTAATCTAAAAAATGTTCACACTTTTGATAACAAAACTACATTTAGATATTAACATCACGAATGTAAATATATTTACATATACAGTCGAATCCGGCTAAGATAGAAATATTTCTTTATTACAGTAAAAATTTCATCAGCTTCATTAATTTTTAAAAATTTTATTCTTTAAAGCAGAAAATTCTCTATGTTTTTTTTGAATTTTTAATTGAACATTTTTAAAACTGCATCTTTAAATGAAATTTTTTTTTGATAAAGCAAATTTTGTTTTTTATGTACTTATTTTTACATTTCTTGTTGCATTCGTGAATGAGAAAGATTAAACTTAAAAATTCGATTAAAAGCAAAGATTAAACTAAAGATGTTGTTAAAAAATTCTCTACAAGTATAGAACAATATTAATTTTGGTTCATTAAAATTATTTTATATGGGTTTAACTGTAGATATTTTAAAATTTAATGTTACAGAGGTTCAAATAATTGAAAAAGCATGGAAAGTTTCATATTATTATTAGACCATTTTCGTTAGACATGAATAAATTTTATTATCGCGTAACTATTACCATGTATGAATAATAAAATTTTATATTGTATTACAAAGCATATTATTTGATGCAAAGTTCTGTTACCTAGGTATATGTACATCATTACCATTCACATTAAAATTTTATTGTTTGAGGTTACAAGATTATGTTGTTTTTTTTTCCATTTTTTACACTTAATATTCAAGAATATTGTTTGTGTATATAAGAATTCCGTCATTCTGTTTTGTAAAATAAAATATTTTAATATATTTTTTTTTAAAACCAAAATGCAATTTTTTATTGAACATAAATTTCTGAAACGAATTTTATTCTGAAAATATGAACTGATCTTTCAGTGTTAATTTTTAATCCTCGTATTTGCCATTTATGCAAAAGATAAAGCAATTTCGAAAAATTTTATGTGGACACCATTCCTACTTCTATATTCGGTTTACCTTAATTGAGTTAAAAAATTTCAAATTTTTGTATTCCCCAAAATATATAAATGCTCCGCCTGAAAAATATTAAATAATTAAATAATTAAAAATAATGCATCATTGCTTTAATTATGTTGATCATAAGAAGAACAAAAATTTTTATTTTTAAATCATCTTTTAAACGCGTGTCTTGTTTTCTTTACAGTTTATCTGTCTAATGTAGTAGTAAGAATGACTGGAAATAAAAATAATTTATGTATTTGTACTTATACATGCTTGCAGGGTTTTAAAATAAAATAAAACTAATTATCAAAAAAATTCGAGATCGCATTCAACATCATATACTTGTAATTTTAATTATTATTAAAAATAATATGTAATTTTAATTTTTTTTTTTTTACTAAATAAAATTTTAAATTAAACTTTGTCCTAATTTTTATAATAAACGCAACTTCCTACGCAAAATTATTTGTAATATATTCACTGAACAGAAATTCTGTTAAAGTACTAGGCTTGTATTTCTGTTAAAGTCTTTAAGAAAAAAAAAATTGGTATCAAAATCGTTCCGTACCACACAAAGTTATTGGGGATTATTTTTAATTGCAATATTTGAGTTTTTGCATAAATAAAATTCTTATTCGTAGTCGGTTCGTCAATATTATTTTACCTACACATCATTTGAAAGTGTTTTTTAGACTTAATTAAAAAGAAATATTTTTACTGAAAATAACATTGCCAGTTAATATCAGTCTGAAAAGGAAATTAGCCTTCTTCCATTAATCGTTCAAATAATGTTTAATTAATTTGTTTTAAAAAATACTCTAATGTCCAACATTACTGAGAAAAGAAGTGATTCATTTATTTTTAATTAAAAAAAGTAAGCAACTTCGATCGCTTTTTTTTAATAAATCTTGAAAATAAATTATTGAGCAAGAATATTATAAAAGTTCTAATTAAATCGAGCCTTTAAAAGTATCAAGTATTTAAAAGTAAAAAAAAAATTAGTATTTTGCATGTTATCACAAATGATTTTGCATCTTCCACACGTTTTGAAAATACTTATTGCATATAATTTGGAAAATATGATATGCATATAATGAATGAAGTACTTGTGACATAACATTAATGTAAATTTTTTAACATTAATTTAAAACAGAATGAAAAATAATATTTATTGTTTATTTTTGTTCATATTAATACAGCTTTTAAAGATTACAAAAGTACAGCGAAAGTGCATTTACCCCAGCATTAGAGTACACAAATTGTTCTGTAAAAATTTACACATTTTCAAAAATATTAACAAGTGCATTGTAATGTTATTTTAATGAATTTATGGGTTTACAGCATAAGAACTTTGTTAATTGTAGGATGGTTAGAGTTTCATTATTCTCAATTGTTTACCACAAAATTTATGATATTAAGTATGAACTGTTATTGTTACTCCCACTACTAATAACTAATACATATTGAATTATTTAACATACAAACGAAATGTATATATGCATGTACTTATTTATAAGTTACATCATTTATAAGTAAATTGTAAAGGGGTTACATTCTCTTATATCTCAATTTTTATGAGATTGTTCCTGTTAATTTATTAAAATACTTTACATGATATTTAGATTTTTATTAAAGATGTAATTTTTGCTTCCAAATTATAAGCCAATAATTCGAAATGAATTAATGAAATAAAATAATAAGGCTGAATAGTTTTGGTATAAATTACTAATTTAAATGTAAAATAAAGCACTCATTATCCGAAACTCGTTTACATAAAGGGAATGAGGTAGGGAGTAGTAAAATATATAATTTTGGTCTTTAATTTTGTATCATATTAATAATTTTGTTACTCACGAAGAGATAACTTTAGAAAAACATTTCAATTTTATAAACATATATGTAATTAATTTTATAACCATTTGTTTTATTTGCAGGACACACCTTCACTTCCCAAAATACCACAATATCATTGTTTGAGATATTTCAAGCACGACATCCACAATCTAAGACGTTGTCGAAATCAAAGGATACTAAAACCCATTCCACGGGAATAAAGCCAAACATTTAGGCAATAAAATTTCAGAAGACTTGGAAGTCATTGTAATCAATTTTAAAATACTATGTGGACTTAAAGAAATATTTTACTAATTGTACATATACATTAATTATATGTCTGTAATTCACTTTTTATAATTTGTATATAACCTTTTTTTTTATTGTTTAAAATGTGATATATGTATATAGTTTAGTTTAAATATACATTTTTTAGATTTAAATTGCTAAAAATCTTTCAAGATAATTGTGTAAATGCTTTTCATTTACAAAACTTATGGGTAAAAAATATAATTTGCATTTGTCTAATTTGTTTTTTAATTTACGCAATTTTAAATTTGTTTAAAAAAATTATGTAATTATGTACGTTATTCTTTAATATATTTATTTCAAAAAAAAAAAAATAAAAAGAATTTTTCATTAAAATAAAAGAATCAATATCAAAATAATGAAATTTAAAAAATATTTATTTAATCTAAAATGCAAATTGAATCATGTAAAAAATTCTTTTGATTAAAACTCAATGGTGTCGGGCAAAATCTCTTGCAGTGTCTTTTTCAGCTGCTTACTATTAAATTTTTTATCATGCAAATTTTCCACTTTGTCGAAGGAGTCCACGTTATTAAAAAGTTTTTGCCTTTCCTTAATTTTTAAAAACAGTTCGTCAGTTTCGTTATCGGTGTCGCTCTCACTTTTTGACGTTTTTGCTAAGTTAGGTTTTTCAATACGCTCAGTATCTTGCACACGTTTTAACAAAAGTGATTGAATGAAATTGCTGCATAAAAGATTCATTGGAGCAGATGCATGAGGTGCCATTTGTATTATCTAAAAGAAGAATATGTATTTATGTTTGTAAAAATATGAAATAATGTGTAATATAATGTGTGGAATTGCCGACCACTCACCGACTTGATTTCTGCATTTCCAGGTACCCCAATTTTCATAATATTTGTGTCTAAATTCACTGCTGCTTTCTTGTCCGTTTTTCTGAATGAATGTGCATCAAAAATTGAATGCTGCGTTATTTCGTTTGGATCATTTACAAAGGCAACTGAATCTTGAGCTTCCTTGTCTTTGGTTGTCGACAGGTATACTATTTCCTAAATATATCGAAATTTGTAAACAGTAGTACAATTTTTAAAAGTTCAAAAAAGAATTAAATAAGAAAGAATTAATAAAGAAAGTTATGTAAAATGATAGTGTGTTAGTTTTACCTGCATCCCTGTAAGAAAATAAAGTGTCGAAAGTGATTGCCAGTCCAAATTCAAAGAAGTTGCCTTTGGATGTTTCCTTGGCACCCAACAAGCGCTATTTATTTCGGGCAGCTCAGCTCGCCGATAAAGATATAAAGGCGCATTTGGAAGAAACACAAACACTAAAACGAAAAGGTATTTCGTCTCACAAATTGCTTTATTCTATTTAAGACTGTATAATTTTATTTACAAAAATCAACAATTCCTTACGTTCATTATTGCAAGTAAATGCAGCGCACAAACTTGTTATCTCGTCAACAGCCATCACTTTTACAGAAAGCTTTAATACAAATTGAATTCTTAAAGTCAAAATATTCCATATAATAACCCGATACTCTGTTGTTATGATAATCTGAAAAGGTTAACTTTTTACATATTGCAAACAATATTTGAGTGTAACTTACTAGGTGTGCAAATTCACCTTTCCCAAAATTTACAGTTTTTACCTCAGATATTCCCTGCAAATTATTCGGAATATCTTCCAATTTTTTGGTAATATCAACTTTTTTTCGTTTCACTTCCTCGGAATTGCTAATTAACGAGTTATCTGAAAATCCATTGCAATTTGTTTTACCGACATTTTTCTGAAGATTACTGTTGTTATCTTCAAGTCTTAACATGTCTAGAAGTGGTATAAGGGTTTCGTTGACTTTGTTTTGATAAACATTTTGCCTTAAATAATATTTACTAAGCTTATATTTCGCTTTAAATTTACATTTTGAACTAAGATATGTGGTATAATTTCGTAACTGTGTTTCTCTTGTATTTTTGTTTAATTTAGAATTTATATATTCTATAATTTTTGGATATACAATCGGAGAAACAGCAAATTGCATGTTAAGCTTTTGGAAAATTACAAGCTTTTGAAAAAGATTCAATTCTGGAATTTGTAGAACTTTTTTAAACAAAATTTTATTATTTTTACTTTGTAATATTGGGGCAAACGACATGATTTTTTGCCTTGATTTTATAGAAGTTTTTTGAAGGATTTTTACTACAGCTTTATTCCCAGCGTCTTCTTCAAAATTTTTAAAAACATCCAATATTTTTTTATAACTTTCATCTACTTCTGTAATGTTATTCTTTTTTTCGTTACAATATATTTGTACTTTATGAAAACTTCCGTCATATACTGGTGGAGCTGTTAGAGCAGCTTTCAATTTTAAATCGACAGCTTTGAAAATACATAACGTATTTCCATAAGTAGCAGATAACAGCGAGCCGTCAGATGAAAAGTCTATTGACGAGGCGTTGTAATCCTTGTACTTTGTTTTTGCCACACAAAGCCAAATTTGTCGTTTCTTGCGAATACTCTCAATAATTTCTAAGGACCAAGTTTTTATATAAGCATCGTTACCTAAAGTAGCACATAGTAAATTATCTGCGCTATGTGAACTTGAAAATTTAATAGCTTTGATTCCTCCTTCATGAGGTAATTCAATGCTTGTATTTAAAGAATAAGTTTGATTTTGCTTTTTGTATTCCCAAAACTTAAGCCGGAGTTCTGGCACATGTTCCTCGTCATCCCATAATTCACCTGTTGCTATCCAATTAACGTTTAACGCAGCCCTTGTTACTACGGTATCGTACAATATTTTATGGGCTTCAGTTGAAAGTTTATTTTGCATTACAACATCAATCTAAATAAAAAAAACTTGAATAAATCTTTCACATATTTTCATTGATATATTATAATACTCACATTATAAAGTAAGCTTTTTGTATGCGTTGAAAAGAACTGCAAATGGCCATATCTACCGTTTGAAACCAAACTATTATTAACAGGATTTAACAATAAGCCTACTGGAAGCTGATTTTGTTCACATTTGTTTTCGAAAACGAAAGTAAAATTTTGCAAAGTGCAAATTAATTGAAGTTGGTCATTTAGTATTTGAACACCTTCAAATAAAAAATAAATTAAATTAAATTTGACTTTTGTCAATTGAAAATACCATTATCGGCCGTAGAGATGGCAATTTTCCTATTGCGGTCACCTACAACTATATGACAAATATGTCCACTCATCCTAGGCAAATAATTTCTCAGATCTGGTCTATCAATATTCCATTTTACCAAAACTGCTTCATATCCTCCCGAGTAAAATCCCGAGCCAGATAAAGTGAATGCTATACTTGTTACAGGATTATGGTGCCAATGATATAAAGTCTAAAATTTTAAGATGTTATAAAAAAAAAAAAACAAAATCCTTAAGATGTCTGTCATTACACTATGGCAATCTCCATTAAATTTAAATATATCTCTATACAAAAATATCTTTCCATTTTCATCACCAGTTGCTACCAATAGCTCTGTGGGATGTACTTGAACAGCTGTTATTTTACATTTTAGAGCATTTTTCCACCTAAAATATTTTTAAAAGGTTTAAAAATTTATGTTTTGTTTTATATTTATGTATCTACAGCTTAAATCTCCACGTTCTATAGTTAACAACTAACAAATTTTGCCTCTGTGCTATTACAAAATAATGGTAAAGATTAGTTTCAGCTGTGGTTATAATATCATCATTGCTGTCATTTAAATTCAAATCAAGAGGACAATTTAGCAACGTGTTTTCTTGCATGTTAACTATATCCCACTTTAAGCGATTCTCTTGATTTCTATATGTAATCAAAGAAAATAATCCGTTTAACATATTTAAAAGCGTGAATGTTTTCACCACTCCATTAATCGGCAATCTGGACCTTCTGCTTATACTTCCATTCTTCAAATCCCATATAGTTATTTCGCCTTTAGTAGAACAACCTACTAAATTGCGAGGATCATTCAATAGTACTTCGATACTGACAAGAGGACTTTTCCCAGACTCCTCAAAATCTCTTATCCATTCCCCTGTACTTGTAGAATACATAAGTACTTTTTGATAATATATTATCAAAATGTATCTAAAAAATATTTATACTGAATTTTAAGATTAAGATAATACAACATCCATTTTTACTTTCCATTTGGAGTAATTAAAGGTGGATGATCCACTAATCTGCCACCGGCTAAACGAACTAAACTATATTCATCGTCCAAGTTGTCGTCAAAAGCTACATCTTCGGAAATCATTTGAATATCGCTTTCTTTACTTTCCACCATTTCTTCCTTTAAAACGGGTGCTACTAAACAAACCATAACGTTTATTTCATGATATTATTTTACGTAAACAAATATATTTATTTAATTTTCTCCTCAATTTTAACTCGGTGCACGTGTTTATTATTTATGTATTGAATTTTATTTTAATCGCAAGAACTTGTAGAATGTCAGCTGTCAAATATATTGACAAATTTATTGTAATGTTTATAAAATGTACTTTCCTATGTAACCACGGCTGACTTTTATTTTTTAAAAATTTTTGTTATGTCAAGATGAAAACGCTCGGCAAATGAGAGATATTCTATAAAGGTACTTCTTCAGAATATAATTTGCAAACAAGTTGACAAATTAACAAGGTGTGCTACATAATTAATATTATATATGTAACGTTGCAAGGTTCAAGTTAAAGGAACGCGGTATGCGGAATGGTTTTAATTTCCAATTCCGTGTTTGCTAATTTGGAATTAAAAAATGATATTCCTTAATTTTGACGTTTATAACAAAAATCAATTATATTTTTATACCTGTAAATATATAGTATCATGCGAAAGTTCTCTCCGATGACGTTCCATTTTCTAGCGTGAACGTTCTTTATCAGACTTTGTAAATTTTTAAACTATGTGTGTAAACTTCAAAATATATACTTTTTGTTTTGCTCTGGTCACACTGTTTCAATCATCTTGCCTTATAAGTTTAGCTGTGTAGTTTGTTTCAGTTTTCAGCTTCATATAAAAACAACCATTTATTATTAAAATAAAATTTCAAAAAAATGAAATAAAATATGTATTGACACATGATTCTTCAATTTATAGTCTAATTTACAATTAGTAATGGAAAAAACTATTTTCAAAACCGCACATTAATAAACTGGAGTAATTTTAGAAAACAATTATGGATTATAAAATTTCAAACTATCTCTTAATTTTCTATTTCGCACAATTTCTAATAACACCTGAAGCAACAAAACCATTGCAAGTAATTCACTTAGAATTATGCAAATATGCAATTATTTTAGAAAATATTTGCAGGTGATCTACGCTGTTAATGCTGGTGGGCAAGAACATATTGACAAAAACGGAATACATTATCAATCTGACCCTTTACGTGGCAAAATTGGAACGGAATCTGATTATGGAAAATCTTTACTAATGATAGCCAGAGCTCCCGAAAATGATGAAGTATTAGTTCAAATCATAAAATAATTATTTATTGTAATATATAATTATTTTAAAAAACTCAGAATTATTTTTATTTCAGATTCTTTATCAAACAGAGCGTTATCACACGGCCACTTTTGGATATGATATTCCTATAGCTGGTACAACACATCAAATTATATTATATTACTAGATATAACTATGTTTTAATTCAAGGTGATGGTGAATACGTACTCGTATTAAAGTTTTGTGAAGTATATTTTAATGCCCCAAATATGAAAGTATTTGACGTTGTATTAAATGGAGATCACACAGTAATCGCAGATTTGGACATTTTTGCTGTAAGTAATAAGTAAAATTAGATTTTTTTACAGCATCGGGAAATATTCGTGATATCATTTTAACGTAGTGCTAAGGTATATTTTTAGAATCGATTAATCTTATAATCATTACACAAGTTGATTGAGCAATAAGTTAGGAGCCATATACCATCGGATAGATGGTCAAAAATGAGTAAAATTTTTATTTGGAACATAATATTAAATTGGAACCGTTTCGAAGCTTTATTCGTGGTTTTTTTTTGGCTAGATCTCCTGCACCTTAAAATATTTTAACCTTTAATGATTTTAACTAAAAGTTAAAAAGGTGAATTCCGCAAAGAGCATTTTAGAAATTTCAAAAATTTAATGAAAAATTGTCGGGGTGAAAAATTGAAATTTCCATACAGTTTGAATACTTGTATTTCGGAAAAAACATGTAAAATCAAATAATGTGTAATCCTTTGTTTGAAGCCCTCTAACAGTCCTTTCAAAAATTACTTGCATGAAGCTTCTATCTATTTTGGAACGGAAGTTATAAGCAAAAAAAATTAGGTATGTTAAAATTTCACCAAATTCCAGTAGGTTCAAAACGGTTCCGATTTGGCACTATGTTCTGAACAAAAATTTGATTCATTTTTAACCGTCTATCCAATTGTATAAGGCACCTAACTTCTTACTGAACCATGGCGTTTTGAATGGCGTTTTATTAATATTATACTTTAACTTTTATTTTAGAACGTTGGAAAAGGAGCAGCACATGACGAGTATGTTTATTTTACAATTTCTAGAGGTCGTCTATATTATAAAGAAGAAGAATCAGAAATTCGTGGAGGAAAAATTCGTATTGAATTTATAAAAGGAATAAAAGACAATCCTAAGATAAACGCTTTTGCTTTATTGAAAGGAGATGTGGCTAGATTACCGAAATTACCACCCGCTGGTAATGAAGCAATTCAAATGCCCCAAACTTCAATGGAAACTGAAATACCCAATGAAGATATTATTGAGAAGCCTATTTCTCAAAAAGTCAGAAAAACAAGCGGCCCTAAACAACCAAATCCGTATTCTATGGATGATTCGTCAGTTATGTTGCCTGTTATTATTGCTTTAGGAGCATTTATACCATTACTGTTTTGTCTATGCAAGCTGTGATTTTCTTTTAAATATGTAATTTTTGACTATGTAGACTAAAGGAGTTTATCGAATTTTTGTTTTTTTTTTTTAGGCAAATTTAATAGATAAATAAAAAAAATATAATGTTATTTTACCATTAACTTTGAATCCTAATTTTTATAACTTCAGAATTCCTTTAAAATGATTGTGGTTCAATTTTGTGAATTATTTTTTATTATAGTTACAATTAAGCTGTGTGCAATTCAGTCTAAAATGTTTCTTAATGAATTATTTTGACACTATGCTTTGTTAGTAGTCCTTTATCAAATTAAATTAGCATTACTTCGTAGGTATAAAAAATTATGTAAATCGTTAAAGTATTTTCTGCAACACAAAAATAAAGAAATTGTTGTATTGTTTTGAAAGTAAATACGAAACAAAAAATAATAGAAGATAATAAAATAATTTTTAAATGACAAGAGAAAAAATTGAAGTTTTAATTCGTATATTTTTTTGCAGTACAGGAACACTATCACTTAATATTTTTAATTTCATATCCTTATATATTTTATTTTCTAAAGGAGAATAAATTCTAAATTGTTTTCCTACTGTTATAAAAATCATTTAATAAAAAATTCGACGCAATCATTATAAAGATAATAAGTTATTTGCCTTAATATATTGCCTTTAGTTATTCCATACAGCAAACTGAAATATTAAAGTTATCATTTAAATTAAAAACGCTTTTTATTTATGTTAAAAAACAGATATGTATAATTTTAACTGATAAACTAGTTTTATACTTAGATTAACGCGTTTTGATGAAAAGTGGCGAATGAAATCTCGTTATTCTAATTAGAAATCATATCTTCAACGTTTTATACATATGTGCATATGTATATATTATAACGTTTCAATTATAGAATATAATATATAGAATAATATTTAAAAGCACAGCATAGTGAAGTTTCAGTTAGTATATTTTTCACAGTCAATTTGAACGCTAAAATCAACTAGGATTTCTTAAAAAAAATATGAGTGATTACAAGGTAAGTTTAGTTTTTTGACTAGAAAGATAAAATAAAGTATAATACATACGTAAGTATAATATATAAGTAACAAGTATATAGTATAAAAAAATCATACTAAAACGTTTTCATTTAATTTAAAAGAAAAATGTTATTTGAACTTTTAAGTTTCTAAAATAGTTTTCAAGTAATTGTTAATATTTAATAACCAAATATCTATAATTTTGAAATTTAATATATTTACATACATATATATGTATACGCATTCATCTCTTAAATTAAAATTTTTCAAACTTTTCAAACAGCTACTTATTGTTTTTTAAATGAATCCGTTTTTGTAAACTGTTTAAGAAATATATGCAATGTAAATTTATTTATAGGAATTTTACTAAAACCAAACTAATCTACAGATCTATATATTTTATTCAATAATTAATTATTAAATCTCACTATTAGTAAAAATGCAAGTCCTAAAGTTGCAAAATGTATTGCTGAATAATTCAAATTGTAAGTTATACATACATATATATGTATTTATAAATATTATGTACATATGAGCATGAAGCTCTTACCTCTTGCATCGAAACAAAATTATCAAAAACGTAATTTTGTTTATTATCATGTGTACATAAATATATACATATGTACAGTATAAGTAATATATATTAAATAAATTTGATGATTTCTTTTAGCAACAGAATATTTTGATCTTAAAAACCAGTTTTAATTTAAATTATCTAGTTATTTATTCAAAAATTTTGTTTACTCATTTTCATATGAGTTTCTTATTCAGTTGTTTTGATAACACCTGAATATATCAAGAACGACTTTGAAAATTATAAATGCATTTTAAACCATTAAAAATATGTAATAAAAGTGTATAAGTATGTATGTATATACAATTTGTTACCTATTTGCAAATTATGTACTTACATACATACATATATAAATATAAATGTACGTACATATTATTGTAAATTTCATTTTGCAAAATAAATTTATCGAAAAACATTTCACTTTTTCCTATGCCATTTGTTCTTACAAATTATAATGGAAATTCTTTTGAATGTTACTTTGAAGATTTTTCAAATTTACATTGCATTTATGCGTGTAATATAAATTTATTTATTAAAAACATTCTCATTTTAAAATATTATAATAATACTATCGAAGCCTGCGCTATCGAAAATCTAATAATGCCATCGATACTAAAATTGCAAAAATAAAATGTTGTTCAGAAACGAAACAGATAACTACAGCACTTATGATATCTGAAATATCCGAAATATTACATGCATGCACATGCATACATACATACACATATATTATATTCTATACCCTATACTATTTTCTTCTACAATTTTATATCAAAAATTTTTGAATTTGAAAACAACTGCCGTTATAGTATCAATCTGGCTTTGGATCGCATTTCTCTTCAGAAGACAATAGGTGCCCAGGTGCTTTGCCCAAAGGACAAAATTCACCACAGGTATGTCCATATGGATTATATGCAGAACAACTTTCTGGATCAGCTTTTACGGCGCCTCGCACAGGTAAATAGTATAACTGTAAATAGTTTCAATACTAAACAGATACAAAATATTTTCATATTTTTCCGAATTTTATCATTTCAAACAACAAATAGAAAACACCAGAACTTGGTTATATCGAATTAGACCAAGTGTAGTTCATGAACCATTTAAAAGGTATGATGTTTCCAAAAACTTAACCCACAACTGGGATGAACAATATCCCAACCCAAATCAGGTGAGATTCATTTTTTACATATACACATAATATAAAGTGCAGAATTTAAATATAATTTAAATACTGAAGCAAAACCAAAATTAAAAAAGAAAGACAAATTTTTTTAATTAAAAATTTAAAATTTTAAATATTATGTAATCTGAAATTTCAGATGAGATGGAAACCGTTCGACATGCCCAAAGAAACTGAAAAATATGATTTCACACAAGGTTTGCATACAATTTGTGGTGCTGGTAATCCAAGAGATCGACATGGTCTTGCAATTCATGTTTACACATGTAACGTTTCTATGATTGATTCAGCATTTTATAACAGTGATGGTGATTTCTTGATAGTTCCACAATGTGGAGTGCTTGATATAACAACAGAATTTGGTAAAATGAAAGTGAAACCAAATGAAATTTGTGTAATTCAACAAGGCATGAGATTCAACGTTAAAATTGAAGGACCTTCAAGGTAGATAAAAAATAATACTTGATCTAAAATACAATTAATTTTAACTTCCAAAATATATTTTTTAATGAAATTTTTAAATAAAAACAAAATTTAAGGGGATATATTTTGGAAGTTTATAACAATCATTTCAAGTTACCTGATTTGGGTCCAATTGGAGCGAATGGTTTAGCGAATCCCCGAGATTTTGAAACACCTACGGCTTGGTTTGAGGATAAAAATGTTGAAGGTAAATTATAAATATAGTTGTATGAATTTTTTAATATTATATGCATATGTAATAAAAAAACTATTTCAAATTTAATAAAATATATATGTATGTACATATGTATAATTATCTAAATTTTTGTTATTTTCGTAGACTATAAAATAATATCGAAATTCCAAGGTATGTTATTTGTTGGGAAGCAAGATCATTCACCTTTTGACGTTGTTGCATGGCATGGAAACTATGTACCTTTCAAATATGATTTACAAAAGGTAAATTTATTTTAAAGCTTGACAAAAATTCTTTAATAGTGCATATCAAGATGAATTACTTTTTACTTTTGTTTAATATTTCATCTGGTTGAGTTCAAGCTCTTGAGTATAGTACTAAAAGCCAGTTATAACAGTTAATTTAAAATATTACATTGTTTTGCCATTTACAGAAATCACATAAAAATAAATAAATAATTAAACGCAAATTTTATAATTTTATAAACAAGGGTAAATTTAGTAAAATAACAAAAGTACAATATAAATTAATAATATATTAAAAAAATTTATGTTAAATTATTTATATTTATATTATGTATGTACTTATTATTTATTAACGAATTAAAATGTGATATTTTTGATCCATTTAACAAATATTAATTCGCACAAATGAAGAGCCAAAAAACCGCTACTGAAATTTTAAATTAGTATAGTGTCTATTTTTGACCATTTAAAAAATAAAAAATAAATTAATACTTTGAATTTTAGTTCATGGTTATTAATACAGTAAGTTTTGATCATTGCGACCCAAGTATTTTTACTGTGTTAACATGTCCAAGTCATAGACCAGGTACTGCTATTGCCGATTTTGTAATTTTCCCTCCAAGATGGTCAGTTCAAGAGCACACATTTCGACCACCGTACTATCATAGTATATTAAAAGCATCTATATAAAATGTATATAAATTATTTTAGACAAAAAATTATTTTAGGAAATTGTATGAGTGAGTTCATGGGATTAATTTTGGGAAAATATGAAGCTAAAGAAGATGGTTTTATGCCTGGTGGTGCCTCATTGCATTCAATAATGACTCCTCATGGTCCAGATGTTAATTGTTTCGAAGGAGCTTCGAATGCTATCCTAAAACCAGAAAGAGTTGCAGATGGAACACAGGTAAATTTAAATTTAAATTTTATAATAGCAAACGATTACCTATTAATACAAAAAAAAATTTTATAGGCCTTTATGTTTGAATCGTCTCTTAGTATGGCTGTGACTAAATGGGGCGAAGAAACATGCCAAAAATTGGATGCTTCATATTACAAATGTTGGCAAAATTTAAAAAAACACTTTTCAATGAATAAATAAGTAATTTTCATGTAAAAAATGTTTTTTTTTGTTTTTGTAATAAAGTGTTTTAAAATCTATAAAAGTGTTATAAATCTTTTCTTTCATGGAACTATAATATAAATTGTTAACGAAAAAAATTCTTAATAAGAGTTTAAAAAATATTCTAAAATAAACCGCCTGACTTGATGGTTACGAAAAATTTAATTGCCTTTATAATTCATTATTTTTGAATTATTTTAAAACACAAACTAAATAAATAAAATAATTATTTAATTGAAAATAATTTATATGGGATTTATTGTTAGCATATCACATAATATGTTTAGTCTAGTAAGCCTGCATAAATACAATATATGTATGTATGTTCAGATAATTAAATAAGGGTGTACAATAAAATGCATACAGAACTAAATTATCATCTAACAATATGTACAAGTAATTCAAAAGCAATATGTTTTTTAATTTAGTTAATAAATTATATCTAATATAATATAGCTGCATAACAATAAATTAATAAGAGATTTAATAAAAAAAATCCTAAACAATATTTTAAAGAAACTAGAGGATATACTTCAATTTGGAAACTGGTACAAAGCCATACTACAAAATATAAATAATAATAAAATAAAATGCAATATATGACGTAATACTGCCCAATATAAAAATTTTGATTAAGAATTTTTAAGGTTTTTGAGTCATAAATGTAATCGACTTTAAGTTATATTATTGTAATCAAAAAAAATATTTGTGTTTAATTGTTTAATTTTGAAGTTTATTGCAATAGAAAATAATACGTAGGTATCTAAAATATTGGACAAATAAGACGGAATGGTCCCCTATTTCATTCTATTATTATTTTTCAACTTTTACTTCTATTTTTAAATAAAAGAGATTTAGAGCGCGATCGCGTATCTCGCTATTTTACTCGCCTATGTTATATTTGGGTAAGAATTTGGAAAAGAATTTTTTCGAATTACTTATCTCGTTTTTTGTAAAATCTAATTATATAAAAATTTAATCATTATTTATTTACTTTGTTTTTCAAGGTGAATTGAAAAATGTGTAATGTTATTGAAAAAATTAAATATCCATTAGAAATTAGGAGAATTCTTATTTGGAAGTGAATAAAAAAGTAAAAAGTGAAATACACGGTTAAACTGTTAATTATATGGTTTAAAATTAATTAAATTAAAAAAATTTAATTATAAAATAAATAACATCGGAATACAATTCAATACAAGGTTTCAACAACAAAATTTGTTCAATAGCAAAAATAGGTAGAACTTTTCTAAATCATTTTCTCTATATTCCAAATGATTTTGAATTGTATTCGAATCCAAAGAGATTTATTAGTTCCGCGAATTACGAACTACATAAAATAAAAAACTAAATTCAAAGCTAAATTTTTAATTGTTGTTTCTTTCAACAACAAGAATTCATTAACCAAACTAGGGGAATCATTAAGGATTAAAAATTTTCTTTTTTACAAATTCTATTTTATACAAATTTTTTAACCTAAATTATTTTTTTGTTTCCATAAAGTTTTCTACGACTAAAAACTAAGATTATATAAATAATTGTTGCTTTATTCAAATTGCTAAACTACAAAAAAATTCTATAATGATGAACAAATAATTTTAATAAAACTCTTGCATAACAAAATAACGAATTTTTAAACTACTTTAATAACTGAAAATGGAGGAAAATAATAATAATTTAATATTTTTTATTTTTTGAAGAAATATTTGTTTTATTTTTGAAATTTATTTATTTCATTATATATGTATATATATATTTTTTTTATAATTAATTTATCTTTGTTTTAATAATTTTCTTGTTGCTTTTTAATTAACTTTTTAAACAGCGATCAGATCAGAAATATGAATATATTCTTTTAAAGAACAATTTAAAGAACTATTTTATACTCTTTTTTAATTTTTTATTTTTTAATTATTTATATATTAATTATAATTGTATGTTCTAATAAAATAATTGCAATTATAATGATATTAATTATTATAAGAATTAATGCAATTGTTCACATGTATCGATATACATATAAATATATGTAATTAATACATTAATTACATATATTTATGTAAACGTATATAAATTTATAAATTATTTTTTATACAATTTTTTATGCTGGAATAATGATCAAAATCATGTTTTAAATAGTTTTAATTTGGTTTTCTGCTTTTGCTTTTGGTTTTTCTTTTTTTTTTGCATTTTACTTTTAATTTTTTGCTAATAATTATGCTAATTAAGTGTATTTGTTTTTTAATCACATCTAAATGAAGTAAAAATAAAACAAATGTTTTTTTTTATACTTTTAATTTTTTTAGTTTAGTAAATACTGAATGGATGATTAAATATATAATATGTATAATACTTCTTTTTGTGTCAACATATACACAGGGTGATACAGTAATTCGAGCCTTGACATAATACCATCGTTTAGGGTATCGCAAATGAATAAAATTTTTGTTCAGATCTAGGAGTAAATCCTAATGGTTTCCGCGATACAAGGATTGTGACGAATTATCTTGAAATTTCTACTTGCTCAAGTTATTTTGCTTATGATTTTCCTTGCAAAAAATATTTAAACGTGCAATTTTCGGAAGGACTAGTTAATTTTTAAAAATCAACATCTTATTTAATATTGTATTTTATCTAATTCCTCTTTTTTACTTTTTTGATCATTTCGTACCATTAAGCTGTTAAAAAAAAATTTTAATTGTCCAGGAAAAAGTGTATAAAGGCAAAAATATTAACGCTATTCTTGGTTTCTATTAATTAAAAATGATTTAATTCGTGATTATTATTTATTTTTGGTGCCTTAAATGATCGTATATGTCATTGTACTGACTACTGAATAACCCTGCATATTTATATATATATATATATATATATATATATATATATTTATATATTTATATAACATATATACATATATATATTTATATATATAAATATATATTATTTTGTTTTTATTTTTTATTTATAATTTTAATAATTTAATCTAAATTTTCTAGCTAAATTTTATTTTTTTATTTTCAATATGAAGGCTAATTTTTTTTCTTGTGAATTACTTTAAATTAAAATTGTAAAACTAATTGCTAAATGATTAAAAACTATAAATTCATTACTTTAATTTTTTTTTCGTTTTTTTATTTTAATTATTTTATACTATTAATATAAATTTGAGAACAAAACTTTTAAATTGAAATATTATAAAAATTTAATTTTTATAAATTTTGATAAATTTTTTTTTTTTTTTTTGTAAAAATATTACTAAGTAATTAAATTGTTTTTGTTTGTAATTTATTAATATAATTTATATATGAATATGTGTGTTTATGTATGTATATTACTTAAAATATTTTGTTAAATGTGCTGGTTATTAAATAACAATTTACTATAATTTCATGCAAAACGTGTTTTAAAAATAAAATAAATGTAAAAATAATTTACTAAAAATAAAATCAATTTAAAAATTTAGTTTTTTAAACTACATTTTTACTTATTTTTTTTGTTTTGCTTATAAATACTTTCAATATTGTATAACAGCAGGGGAGCTTGTGTTTGAAATAACAATTCAAGAAGCTATAATTTTAATAGCTTCTTTAATGAGTATTTTTAATTAGAATAATTCAATTCTCTTTCGTTAACATTGCGGACGAAATCAAGATAGAAATAATACCTGTATAATAGGAATTACAAAACAAAATAATTTTCAGCTGTATTCAAAATTCGTAGTTTATTGTAAATGTGGAATGCAAACTATATGAAATTTTTTTAAAATATATATCAAGATTTTGCAAGTTAATTATAATTTGAAAGAAAAATTGTATTGCTTTCTTATGTTTGTATTCTAAAAGAAAGATATATTGTCATAATTTAATCTTTTCGAAAAAAAAAATTCTTAAATATGATTTGAGCTTAAATCGTATCATATTTTTTTTAAATTTATACACATTTTAAATTTTTATACTATCATATGTATGTAATTTTTTATTTGATAAATAATTATTTCAATAAATAACCTAATCAACGTTTAGGGGAAAAATAAAATTGAAAAATTATTGCAAACAATGAGAAAGGAATAAATATCAAAAATATGCAAGTTTATACATATTCATAATACATATACAGAACAAATAATTTATTGAAAGTTTTCTTAACTCTCTTTCACCTAGATGAAATGCAACTGCTTTTAGCAAGATATCAATATAATTTGATTCTAATATACACCATTTACTGTTCTTTTTCATAAGTTATTGGAACGAACTACAAAAGAGCATACTGTTGTAGTTTACTTGTACTCAAACTTGTAAAACTGAATGAAGGAAGGCTAGTCCTTCATGTACCTATATAAATTAAATAAGATATGCAACACTAAAAATTTTTTAAATTTATTTATAATATGAATATTATAAGTATGTACATATATTGAACATACATATTATTATATTTGTTCTGCATACCAAAATAATTGAAACAAATTTATGGCAGTGTAGAAAGAAATTTTTTTGCTCAAAAATTTTTTTATTAGTCAATTAAATCCAAACCGACTGTTTTATCTTAAAAAAATATTTTTTTTTATAGAAAATAACAAGTTAAATTTCTTTATTTTTAAGAAATATCTGATTGCACTGAATTTGGCCAAAATCCTTTTTTTGTATATTAATAATATTATTTTAACACCACAATCAATTCAGTTAAAATATAAAATTTTGCCAAAATTGACTTTTACGAGCTTTGGTTCAGAAATAAATTTGATTATTAAAATAATAATCAGATGTTTTATTTTCTTTTGTTAGTAAGAATGGACATCACAAAGATGCTAAACTACATGAATTAAGTAAATCCCTTGTCGTACTTCTTTGCTTACAGTTAATAAATTTAATGTTAAATCTGCTAATAAATTTACTTTGCTTTTACAAATTTTGTTCAACTCCCATTCAAAATTAATAATACCAACGTTGTATTTACGAAACTACATTTAAAATTTCAGAATATTCATAGAATCCAAAATACCGGAACAAAAAATACCGTTTTTGATCAGCCACAAGAGTTCGACATCAAATTTTTGATTTATTTATTTGTTGTATGTATATAAAATAAAGCCATAGCACGAATATTTTAATACAAAAAATTAAGTGTTGTAAAAGTTTGTAAAAGAAAGGCTATTTATATATCGTTCTCTGTATGTTTTTACAAATTTGTTTTATTCACATTAAATTAACATTTATGTTTTTTTTAAATAGTCTGGTAAAATATTCACCTGTATTTTCTATGACGCTTCACATGACGTGATAGGATATTTTTTAAACAGATTGTAGTTATTAAAATAAAATCAATATTGAAATTTAAGGTACATACTGAAATAACAATATTAATCAAAAATATCCTTTCGCATGATGGTATGCGCCTTACAAAATACGGAGGACTATTTCAACGTGTAAGAAATTATTTAAGCTCTGATGGTTAGTGTATATTCAAAATATGCTCTATTAATTTCGCTTTTAAAATAGCTATAATAATATTAAACTTTTTATATTGTATTAAGTTTATTTATTGTATTTAAAATAATTTTTTTTTCCTTGCTTGTCGTAACTATAACTAATTATGAAATATATTGTACAATATTTAAATTAATGCAGCAGCATAAATGGTAATCTTATTTAAAATTCCCAGTATGTTTACATTTTAAGTTAAAGATTTTAATTTGTTAGATATGTTTTCCATTTAACGCACAAAAAAGTTAAATAAAAATTACAACTAAAATTTACTTCGACAGTAATTAAAAATCAATATCTACTCTTACACAAATATTGTTTTTTCCTTCAAAAGCTTTATAAATAATTACTTTTGCAAAATATAGTTTATGTATTCAATAACATAAGCTTGTATTATATTAATACTTTATGTCATAAATTGAATTTTTATTATAATAAATATTTAACAATATAATATTTCAGATATTTCATCAAATCTACAAAAATAAAATCATCTACATAGACAGTTTTGAATGAAATTCTGTTTATATTTTTTTAATTTTTTTATTATTATTTGTATATTATATTTATTAAAGGTACAGTTTAAAACGGTGATTTGCACTTCCTACGTTTATACGTAAAGTTAATTTCCATAATTCACTTCAAAAAAAACTATAACATATTTTACATAGTGAATATATATAATAATTCAAAGAACGGCGATCTATATTGCTGCATTGTTTTTATGATCCTTGAATTTGAATAAAAAATTTAATAAATTAATTTTGACTAGATATTAAACTTTGCGCATAAACATAGTAATTCTTAAAAAATCTTAAAGTTACTATAACTCTTTTTTTTTAAAGATTTACACAGACAAGCCTTGTAAAATTTTAACAAAAATAATAGATATTTTAGTAATATCAAATAGTACCTATTAAGAAAACTTTTCTTTGTTTTTCCTTAATTCTTACATAGTGAAGTAATCTAATTTTAATTTTGAAGCGACCTAAAAAGTAAATATGTACTTTTCTTAAACTTAAAAAAAATTAAGTGCACTTAAGTAATGGAAGAAGTGTTTTAATTTCAAACAGAAAATGAATGATCATCAATAAAATTTTTAGAACACAAAAAAATATTTTTTACCAATTTAAATATTTTTTAACATATTAATTTATTCTAAAATGTAAAATGTATTGTAAAGCTATTGCTAAAAACAAAATTTGAGCATAATTATATTTATGTTCTAAAAAAAATTCAAAAGCTTTCCAAGTTTATGAAATGGTCACTAATCAAGTCCATTTTTTAATATTTTTTTCCTTTAATTTTATTCACGTTTTTCAAATGCTTCGCGATTCTTTATTTTTATTATTTTTTTTTTGTTGTCAAAAGTAGAAACTGGCTTAAAAAAATTTAGCAATATTTGATTATGAAAAATGTATATATTGTGCTATAAAAATATATGTATGTACATATGTATTTAATTAATTGAATTAATGAATTTTATAAATTTTTGTAAATTTGTATTTAATAAATTTTATCTTATTTAAAATTTATTGGAAGAAATACATACTATTTTTTCAATCATATATACATATTTTTATGTTACGTATACATATTTAGTATATTATGAATATATATACATATACATAACATGCGTATGCTATATTTTTTATTTTGGAAACTTCAATTAGGTAAAAATATCTAACAATATGAAAAATTTTCAAAAATATTTGCCATCCCATCTCAAATTAATTCATTAAATATTGTAGTTAATATAAAGACAATTGTTATAAAATCAATACTTGATTCTTCAGAGAAGTCTATTGATTTTATAACAGAAAAGACCTAACAAAGTTTGAGCATAAAAGCATTATAAAAACATGCGAAATATTGCGAAAAAAATTTATATATACAATTATCTGAAATTCTTATTATTAATATTCCAGTTGTGTATAATTTTATAATTTAAAAAATTTTTAACACTTTGTAAATGATTATTTTAATGATTATTTTTTTATTTAATTATTAGTAACTTTTTTCTAACTAAAACTAATTTTTCTTTTGTGAGAACTTAACTTTGTGTTCTAAAAATAAATTTTTCCTCTTATTCAAATAACTGCTTTTTTCATAACTTTTAATTTGAAATTATAATTTCTAACAAGTTAAAACTAAAATATTAACAAATTCTTGTAGTAACGTAATTATCTTATAGAAACCCAAAATTTTAAATATAAGTCAACGATCAGGTGGAATTCGTAATGATCTCAGCACTTTGCTAGCCTTAAAGTAAAACAATAATTAAAATATAAATTATAGACATAAATAAAATATTTCTCACTTGATATTGTTCTTCTGTTTCTATTAATCCTTTGACAGCAACAATTTGATATTGTGGTGCTCTCATGGCAGATGGTCCTCTTCGAATCAGTCTTAAGGAGTCTTGTGAAGACCCTAAAGCAGCTACTTGTCTTGGCCCATGACTTGGATCTAATACTAATAAGGTTAAACCCGATACCCTTTGTTCTATACCTATGATTGTTCTGGAGTGACCTAAACATTAGTAAAATAATAAAAAAATATGTATTAAGAATAATAAACGTATATTTCTATTATGTTGTATAAGAGAATTTAGTGTTTCTAATGTCATGTTTAATCATAATACAAAATTCGTTTCATTAAAAAAAATAAGGATTGAATAAGTTTCTTTCCAATCAAATAGAAACTTTAATACTTTAGGTACTAAAGAGAGCTTATTAGAAATAAATAATTCCTACCTTGATGTTGTAAATATAAAGGTGGAGTATGAACACGTGGTTCATCAAAATATTGAAAAACCCAATTAAAAAGCTCTGGGTGCCTTCCATCCGATGAAGTTGGACGATGAAAATCAATCAATTGGCAATTAATCCTTAACCAGGAAAGAACTGTTACTACTTCTGTAGCACCAATCCATTTTCGGGTGTTATAAAGTTTGCAACCTAATTGTTCAGAGCCCTTTAAAGTCAATTAAAATTTTTATTCATTTTATTTCATTTTGAAAACTTAAAAAGAATTTCTTTTTAAGTACCTGCACGTCAAACCCTTGATTCCAAGCAGCTTCGACCATTTTTTGTAATCGAGAAATACTGGGCATAGCAGTCCTGGATGGTCCATGATTCCCCCAAGCGGAGTAAATAGCTTCATTATATGTTGTATTCTGCGAATGATAAGTATTAAGACTAATTAAAACATAACTTTTTTGATTTATACTTGTAATAATGATGACAGAAGCATTTGCAAGTTCCTGTAGCCACAACCCCATCCTTTATCTCCGTAACTGGAGGCATAATGATCAACAAAAGAGCACACCAACGATTTCATGACGCCAGGAGACGAAGAAGAAAGCGATAACACTCGGGCTACAATTATATTAACTTTTCAAAAAACTACTCATGTGTGTCAGCATAATTTTTTACCTGCAACCGATTTGGTGCAAGACGTACAATCGTCAATCCCATGTGACTCCGCTGCCCTTAAACCTACCTGTCGTTCGTAATAATCAGCTACACTCATTTCACCTGCATAAACTGCTCGCTGCATTGCCGCTGCAGATTGTTCACGAAAATTGCCTTGATCATCCATACCATATTGAGCTCTTAACATTTCAAACTCCCGTTGTTCTCTCAATTTTTGTGCCTGCTTTTCTAAATCTGTGTCGAAATTAATATTTTTGGGTGATTTCGTAAAATGACCTTCAATGTGCAATTCCATTTCTTGAGGCTTCATATTATCTAATGATATATTGCAGACAGGACATATACTACCATTATGACATAAGTTGAATTGATTTTCTGTTGTATTTGGCTTTCCAGGACTTAAAATATCCCTAAAAAGCAGTTTTACATGAAATAAAAATCTTAATTTTTAAATTTTTTTGCCTTTTAAATGTACCTGTGCTCGATGTTGACATGTAATTCTAAATCTGATGATGAGTCAAATAATCTTAAACATATTGGACATTGTAAAGCGTTTAAGGTACCAAAATGATTGTTCGAAGATGCGGAAGATCCATTCACTCCAGGGCTCAATGGATCAAAGTGGGAACGATTAATATGTTCTTCCAAAATATTTGCATTGTCAGAAGTATATGGACACAAGGGACACTAAAAAGAAAATAGTAATTCAATAAAAAAAAATTAAACAATGTAAAGAGCAACTTTACTTGCAAAGGACTTAATTTTTTTGTTGCCGGCGAATTACTCTTTAATTTTAATCCAAGTTGTGATCTAGATGGTGAGCCGCTACTTCCACCGCCACCTCCGCTATTGTTAGTGGAATTACCACCAGACAAACTATTATTTCCATAATCATATCCATTCATATAATCTCTGCAACCATTACTACTGCTATTACTATTGTTACTATTAATGCTGCTGTTACTGCTGCTAGCACCACCGTTCATATCACAGTTTCTGTTAGTTTCATTTGCTAATTTAAATTGCTGTTGATGTTGATGTTTCGAATTAGAAAAATTTTGCGAATTAAAATTATTCGAACACGACGGTTTTAATTGATTATTTGAATTAGTGTTGTTAGAATTATTCAAAACATTAGACGGCTGTTTTAACACATTATCTAAACTCGCTGATGATATTCGATTTGAGTTTAAATTTCCTGAACTGGCATGATTTGTTGCTGCTGTTATTATTGCAGAGTTAATTGATTGTTGCTGTTTTTGGGTTTGCTTACTATTGGTTGACAATGTTGTTACAGAAAATTTGGTTTTTGTTTTGGTTGGTTGAGTTTCCGATTTTACATCTGCAGAAGCGTTGTTTGAATTGTTGATAATAGAAACTGCACCATTCAACCTGTTATGACCATGATGATGATGGCTATGCGAAGAGCAATGTGAATGAGTTATACACATTTTACTTTCCGATATTGAATCTGAATCACCATCCACGCTTTAATTAATGGAACAAAAGATTCAATTTTATTAAAACTGATACAAAATATTCAAATACTAGCATGCATATAAATATTTAATTTCCCAATATCGACTTTTAATAATCATAAAAGCATCTTATTTTTTCATATCACCATTTTTTATCTTAAATTATGGTATGTATAAAATTAATAATATAGGCTTCAGTTATTGTGATATTATATATTTCAAAAAACTTTAAATCAAATTTAAATTTAATTTAATAGCTTTTTTGAAAAAAATTTAATTGTTAGTCATCAAACTGTATCAAAATAGTTTAATACATATATTTATTAATATTAATGTTATACATCTATGTACATACATATGTAGATAGGTCGATAAGTTATTTGTAAAATAACGATATACAAAACGTTATCTCATATTTAAAATTATGTTTATGTATGTGAGTACCCTCATATTCATGTACGTTGTAAGTTGATTTTGTTTTTTCATTAAATGTTTTTAAAACATTTCACTAGACTACTTACCTTGGACTTTGATCATCAATAAAATTCATTAATTCATTTTCTGGTGTCAAATAATCTAAATGGGCTTGGTTCACGTGTAGAAGGAGCTCAGCAGGAATAACTCCACTAAAACCACAAAATGGACATTGGGCATTACCCTCAACATGACAAGTTCTTGTATGTTCTCTCATATACTCATCAGATAAACCAGTCATTCCACATATTTCACAGCAATGTTCTTGTGACGAAACGTAGCAAGCCCCTGCGTCATCATCATCATCATCACGATGGGACATTATTTAACCTTTATTTTAATTTTTTTTTTCAGTGTTTACAAATTAAAACGACAAGTAAAAACACACTGTTACGTGATCAATTACATAGGTATATTGTTGATCCTGAAAAATCAATTTAATCACATTTAGTTAAATTTTTTTTTTGTTTTTTTGTAAGAATTAATTTAAAAATATTTTTTTCTTTTACTTTATAGTTTAATTACAATTTATAACAAAAGCACAAGAAAAAAAATAACAGTTTAACATTTTATAGGTTAAATCGATAACAAAGTTTTTTACGATTTCCTTGAAATTTTTTCTCTACTAAAAGCAAAAAATTTTCTTCCTGGTTAAGGATACTTAATGCAGGAAAATATCACGTTCTTTTTTTCTTTTTTACAAAAAACGACAAAACTATATTTATTCAGCTTTAAATTTTATTCAAATAAATATTAAATTACACATTTTAAAAGGTACTAATCTCTTTTTAAATAAAACATAACAAAAGAAAATTTAATCCTTTAATTAAGGAAAAACTTTTTTTAACGTTTCGTTTTTTTAACTTCGTTAGCGATTATTGGTTTCATAATGTCAGAAAAAATGAAAAAATTTGACAGAAATTTAAATAAGGAAAAAGGACCTACAAATTTTTCTTTCTTTTTTTTTTGTTTTTTCTTTTTTCTTATACATGTGTTTTTAAGGTAAATGTTCTAAAATGTTAAATCCCTACCAAAACCCTAAAAAGGACGAAAAATAAACACAATTTTTAGGGATAAAGAAGCGCATGTTCTAAGAAAAATATTTTTAAGTTTATTTCAAAAATTATTATTTAGTGCTATATAGAAAAAGTACTATTTAATTATTAAAAGTACTTTTTATGTTGAAGAAATTTAAAATTAGCAAACTTTAAATAACACAGTCAATATTACAAGTATTTAATCTTATTAGACATCTATCTCGTATGTATGCACACACTGTATATCAAATATGTAGGTAAACAAAAAATAAAATATATGTACAAGGAAATATAGACATACATACATTATGTGGAATGTACTACAAGCAGGGGGTACTTTTCGCTTAAAATTTTGAATTATTTAGATGTAATTTATTTGATATTTAAATCTATTTAAACAAATTTTAAAAAAATAGTCTAATTCTGTCTACAGAATGTTTAAATACATATATACATTTTTTTTTATAATTATTTTAAAAACATTTAAAAACTTGTCATTTGTTGCTAGTTAAATTATAAATTTTTTTTTATATCCTGCCTAACAAGTCCGTGTAAAAAAATTTGCTTTTGAATAACAAAAGTTTTACCTTAGTTCTGTTGCAAAATTTATTTATTCTTACATTTTAAATTTTATTTACATAATGTTTGTAGATAAAAATGATATTTTTTATGATTTGATAATTAGAATTCCTTTTTTTAAAAAAATAACATATTAAAAAATATACTGTTACAGTTTCGACATCAATTTTAACCCTCTGGTTTAAAGTTTGAACTACTTACATATTTTTTTACATGGTATAAATTGAAAAATTTAACTTTCCATATATAAAAGAGACATTGTGAACGAAACGAAACGCAATAATCAAAATTCACGTAAAAATGTTAGTTTAACCTACATATGAACTACTGAATTCAAAGCTTACGCATTGTAAAAAAGTTATTTGCTAAAAAATTAGAGAAACATTTTGTTAATACATACATATAGTAGGTATGTCAACGTGTTTTATGAGAAGAGCCCATAATACGGAAAACGTATTATACATACCATAAATAGTTTTTACGATACTTATATGTATGTATGTATGATGTGTTTGGCCATTATCAAAAACGACGTTGATGACATGTACATAATATGTATGTAGATATAAAGTAGAAGGTCGAATAAAATAAATAATATTATTACATATTGTAAAACCTAAAATGTCAGAAAAAATACATTGCGCAATTGAATTTTAAAACTTAATCTGATTTTGAGATAAGCCTGGAATTTTAAAAAGTCGATGCCTATACACTCTTTTTTTGTTTTGTGTTTTTTTATGCACTGTAAACTTTCCTCCTCAATTTTCATCATAAAGTACTTACAACAGAAGCAGTTACTTTTCCAATGTTAAAAATTAAACACATGAAATATCACATGTTTAGGCGTTTTGACGTTTTCTTATCAGTAGGTAGGTACTTAATTTATACATGTAAACATAATTGCACACATTTTGGAGATACGATTTAATTTTCATTTTGATAATTTAAATAAGTGCGTTATACCAAAAAATTCAAAATCATAAATCTTCTAAAAATCTTTTATTTTTTAGGTAAACTCAAATTATATTTAATATTTAAACACTGCGGACTTATATTAATAAATTGAAAATATCAACATTTCATTCCTTTATCATGCTTTTACAAAAACTGAGCAGATTTTCACAACATTTAAAATCGACGATTGGTTTGTAAATTTTTTTGCATGTCTGTATAATATTCTTAAAAATATTAACTTTTAGTAAGTCCACGTCTTTTCTCAACAAAACATGAACTTCGTAAGTTTTGTGAACAAAATTATGAAAACTTAAAAATGGAACTATTATCAATATATTTACAGCAACGTATAAATGGGATGATCCTTTGAATTTGGAATCGCAACTAACTGAAGATGAAATTTCCATTCGAGATTCTTTCCGTTCCTATTGTCGAGAAACTCTCCTGCCACGAGTTACGCTAGCTAATCGAAATGAAGGTGAAAGATACCAACATAATTTAAGATAATTTTATTGATACCATTTAAAATGATTTTCATAATTTGTTTTCAAGGTTAAGACGGCGTGACGCGAATTATCTTATTAGAAAAAGAAAGCTAGTGCTTTTTTAATTAAATGTATCTACCTAACTACATTTTTTTATTTTATACGAACAGTACATAAAAATATACTGAACTATAATGTGTAATCTATTAATAATTAGTGAACATTTAACAAATTTTAGTTTTTCATAAAGAAATTTTAACTGAGATGGGCTCTCTTGGTGCTTTGGGTTGTACATTGAAAGGCTATGGGTGCGCGAACGTATCTAATGTGGCTTATGGTCTCCTAACCAGAGAAGTAGAACGTGTAGATTCTTCCTATAGAAGTGCTTTAAGTGTCCAAAGTTCCCTGTCAATGGGTGCCATATATGATTATGGAAGCGATAAACAAAAAGAAAAATATCTTCCCAAAATGGGTAAGTTTATGTTACAAAACTAGTAGTTCCTTTACTCTTATTAAGTTTTTATAGCTGAAGGTAAGCTAATTGGATGCTTTGGCCTAACCGAACCAAATCATGGGAGTGATCCAGGTGGCATGGAAACAAGAGCCAAATATGAAAGCAAAACTAAAACTTACGTATTAAACGGAAGTAAAACATGGATAACTAATTCTCCAATAGCTGACATACTTATAATTTGGGCAAAATGTGAAGATAATAAAGTACGAGGTTTTATAATAGACCGCGAAGAATCAAATAAAGGATTGTCAACACCAAAAATTGAAGGAAAATTTTCTTTAAGGGCTTCAACTACTGGAATGATTTTAATGGATGATCTACATGTTCCTGAAGAAAATCTGTTACCTAAAGTAGAAGGTTTTCGAGGACCGTTTGGTTGTTTAAATAATGCCCGGTATGGAATTGCATGGGGTGCACTCGGCGCTGCTGAAGAGTGTTTATCTATAGCACGTCAATACACGTTAGACAGACATCAGTTTAAAAGACCTCTAGCTGCTAACCAAATTATACAAAAAAAATTCGCTAATATGTCTACTGAAATCACTCTTGGCTTACATGCTTGCTTACAAGTTGGTAGATTAAAAGACAAAAAACAACATACACCAGAAATGATATCAATGATAAAAAGAAATAATGCAGGAAAAGCTTTAGAAATTGCAAGGATTGCAAGAGATATGTTAGGGGGAAATGGTATTTCAGATGAGTATCATGTTATTAGACATGTTATGAATTTAGAGGCGGTGAATACATACGAAGGAACTCATGATATTCACGCTCTGATTTTAGGACGAGCTATAACCGGCATAGGAGCATTCTAATATTTCTATTGAAAATTTTCTTATAAACGAATACATCTATGCCTTATTTTGCAAATTTTTACTAAATTTCAAATATAAAATGTTCTGAACTAGCTAGGTATTGTTCAAATTTGAGATTACTTTAAATATGTTTGAATATATGTTATAGTAAACACATAACTAAACACTAAATAAACTTTTTCAAATACAAGAAACGTGTACCCGTGTGTATGTACATAAATTCAAATGTTTGTTTTCCAAGTTTTAACTGATATACATACATACTTATTCACAATATGAAATTTTTTTCTTAATCAAACATTTATAATATAATTAAATCTTATTAAAAATTACTTTTTCATAAAATAACAATGAATTTTATATATAATAATAGCAAATAAATAGCGCGGAAAATTAATTTAAAAGAAACACAACTGAACAGTAAACTGCAATCTGCAATTTGTCATCTGCGTTCATGTCATAGACCATTAAATGATTAGACCAGCAGTATTGTTTATATTTCTTTTTTTTCTCAGTGAGATTCTCTGTCAACCTATTCTCCGTAGTATACTTCCCTATAAGGTTTTGACAATCCAATTTTAGTATGCAACATATGTAAAAATTTTTAATTGCGATAAATCAAATTTTACAAATCGAGCGATTGTACAAATCAAAATCTTGTACATAATGAAGCATTGTAAAACTAAATCGTACTCGAAATATTCAAACTTGGATTGTTGAAATTGATTGAAAATTTGATTTGATCTAATTTTCTTTTATTTTAGCTGCTCTTTTATTATTGTAATTAAAAATTAAAATAAAACAAAATATAAAGCAGATCGAAAATTTTAGTACTCACCATACTGTCAAAAAATTAAATGAAAAATAAAGAAAATTTATATTTTTCTCATTCAAATTTTGATCATTCCAACATATATCGTACAATTTTGCTTGATTTGGAAACCCTGCCAAATACCACAGATTGCTCGAGTATTATTTAGATATACGAGTAAATCGTATATTGTTACACATATTCTGCTATTTTCTCTGATAGGACCTTGTTAAAAAGTAATTTGGTTTGTAGAATAGAATTTCAAATTTCGATATTGATTTTTTATTCAAAAAATTACAATTTTTTAATAGCAACGCATCATATCAAGGTTATATCTGCAATGAAATATGATAGCTGTTTACATACCAAACTGCAATTATTCGAAAGAGCTCAGGCTTTGCGCCAAAATTTAATAATTTCGCTAGAAAAGTTTTAAACTTTATAGAAATTAGCTGACCACCGTCCAAGCTCTCTTAAGAAACTAGTTTACTTTTAAGAAATCTGGTTAAATCTGTAGTGGATATAGCAATTTCTATTTTTTGCCTTCACACAAGATGTAAAGTTATTCTACTGTATAGTAAAATAATTTTCACTCAGAATTCTTCTTTAATACAAAAACACTCTCATGGCAATTCAGCAGTATATAGCGACCTCGACTTTAGAATGTCTTGAAGCTGAAGAATCTTGAAATGTTTCATATTTTTCTGAATTTGTTTCTTTTTGTAGCTTGTATATAACAATACGACCTTAAGAATACCATTTTTGCAATATTATTAAAAGATTTAGCTTTTGACGCAATCACATACAAAAAAAATTATTTGTAAACCTAGGATTCTTATTGTTTCAATGTTTCCATGTTAAAAATAAATTTTCTGTAACTATATAGTAAACACAATGGCTCATTTTCATTTCCAGTGAAATAAAAAAAAAAAATTAATTTACAAAATAACAAAAGCGTGTAAACGCGAAACCCTTTTTGTTTTTGTGGTTTGCGTAAGACAATAGTTGCTATTCGAAGTAATCTATTTCAAATAACTATATTACTTGTGTGGAGTAAAGTAAATAAAAATATCAACTTAACTAAATAACTACTAAATTAATGCAAAATATAAGTTGAACCAACAATATGATTTCGTTAAACAATTCATTTAGAATTCTGTCGTTATCTTGTAAATTACTTCAACCAAGGTAGCTTTTATTTTAAGGTTAAATGAATTATAAAAATTGAATTATTTTTAGACAAAAATTTCCGCTATATTTACCAAAAAATGACTTGAAAACTTCGTTAGAAGAAAAAATTGGTCTTCCCCCAAAGCCAAAAAAGCCTTTAACTCCGTATTTTCGATTCATGAAAAAGATGAGAGATTCTGTAACTGCCGAAAACCCGAATGCTAAAGCTCATGAAATTGTCAAGATATTAGCTAGTAAATGGGAAAATTTAGATGAAATAAATAAAAAGAAATTGCAAGAAGAATATAAAAAAGATCAAATTTCTTATTTAGAAACTAGAACTAAGTACGATAGTAAGGTAACTGATGAGCAAAGAGGCGAGTTAAAGCAACTAAAGCAGGAATTAGCAGATGCAAAACAAAAGCGTGCCATGCGTAAGCGTATTAAAGATTTAGGAAAACCAAAAAAGCCTGCTTCAGCTTTCTTGAGATTTTTAAAACATGAAAGATCTGCAACCCCCCAAGGACCAAATCAAACTTATAAAGAATGGCATAAGAAAACTGTTGAAAAGTGGGCTCGTTTATCTGACGTTGAAAAGGAACCTTTTGTAAAAGAATCTGGAAAAGAGCTTGAAGCTTACAAGTACTTTCATTCTTCTTTGAAGTTTTAAATCAATTGTTTAAATTTTAATTTATTTTTAGGAAAAGTATTGCAAAGTGGGAAGAGAAAATGATACGTCTAGGCCATATTGATGTTGTTCGTCAAGAGTCCTTAATAGATCCACCAGATTTAAAGCCAACTGCAACGAAAACTCAAAAAATTCGAAATAAGAAAACAGAATAGGAATTTTGGTGCCCCTCTTCACATAATTCTCAACTTGAAACAAAAAATCCAAATTTTCAAACTAGTTTAAAAACAAATATTAATACCAAGAATGTTGATTATAATATTTTGGAAAAAATAAACTTGAATAAAAATAAAAGAGAATCGGAAATTAAAGAGAGGAGGGGTACGGGTGATGAAATAAATACAATTAGTCCCAATGAATTAGATAATAAGACAGAAAGAAAAAGTTTTTTAACAAAAATTTCTTCATTTTTCAATAAAAAATAAATGCATTTTTCGCTGACATTAACACATCAACTTATTTTCATGAAAATTTTGAAATGTATTTCATTTTTTGACCATTTTGTATATTGTTACAGAATTTTCTAATAAAATTTAGTTAAAATATGTGATTTATATATGTATGAATAATTCGATTTAACGAATCTAACACAAATAATTTAACAATATGCATATTCATATTGACTATTGTAAATTGATAAACTTATTATCGAATGCGATTAACAAATTAACATGCTTGAGTGTTTTATAAGCTTTTCAACTAGTTAGTATTCTTCATTTCCCCAATTTAAGCAAGTATGTACATACTTAATTATCATGTACATAAAACAAATAAATTTTGATAAGAATTACAAGTCTTAAATTCGGTTATCTCTTTCATTCGCATAAGTCAGTTCGTTACTTCTTAATTTCTGAAAAAGGAATTTTTATTTGTGATTTGTCCTTTTTACAATTCAGAAGGTCAGAATAATGGATTTAAAAAATAAAACAATTCTTGTAACAGGTGCAGGACAAGGTAATTAGATATTGCAATTAATATTCGTATGTTAAAACTATAAGTCCAAATTATTCTTCAAATTATAAATGTTAGGTATAGGAAATGCTATATGCAAATCTCTTTATGATCTGGAAGTTAATGTTATTGCGGTTTCAAGAACTTTGCAAAACCTGGAGCTTTTAAAACAAGAGTGTCCTAAAATACAAGTTATACAAGTTGACTTAAACGATTGGAATGGAACTAGAGACGCATTGTGCAACGTTAATTCGCTTGATGGTTTAGTCAATAACGCAGGTGTTGCATATATAAAACCCTTTTCTGAGTTGACGGAAGAAGATTTCGACAAGTACAAAAGCAATATATTTACATAAATATTCTACATACATATGTATGTAAATACACTTGTGCATATTTATAGTTTTATGAAAGATTTATTAGTTATTGCATATATATGCGCATATGTACATACATACATATTATGTGCACATATTGTAATTTATATAATATAATTTATCTTACCTACAGCACATTCAATGTTAATATAAAAGCAGTTTTCAATGTAACTCAGACTTTATTACCAAGCTTAAAAAACGGGTCAAGTATAGTGAACGTGTCATCTCTTGCTTCAAGCCGTTCATTTTTTGGACATTCTGCTTACAGCGCAACAAAAGCTGCACTCGATTCATTAACTAAAAGCCTAGCTTTAGAATTGGGCGAACGTAAAATTCGAGTAAATTCTGTGAATCCAACTGTAATAATGACTGAGATGGGAAAGGCTAATTGGAGTTCACCAAGTAAAGCAAATCCAGTTCTTAATCATATACCACTCAAACGGTAATATAATTTGAAAAGTAGTAATAATAATCCATTTAAACGCTCATCTTTTCAGATTTGGAGAAGTAAATGAAGTTGTCAATAGTGTAATTTTTTTGCTAAGTGATAAATCAAGTTATATAAATGGTCACCATTTATTACTAGAAGGTGGATACTGCGTATCATAAAAACAAACAATTCCAAAACATTTTAAAAATTTATTTTGTTTTATTTACATTTTCATAGATATTTGAAAATAAAAAAATTAACGAAAATGCCCTCCTTCAGATTCATTTAATTGTGACTGTAAGCCTTCTCTTTCCGTAGCACAATTCACGCATATTACATGACATATAACAAAAGAGAACATAAAGACCCCAACATCTTTGAAAATCTTATTTAGAGTTTGTGTTATTTTTACTATTGGTTGAAATATGTTTGACGGAACACCAACCATTATAAGAACTAGGCTGATTAAGGCATCTGACGAATTAGCTTGTGGTTTTATGATAATGGTTTCTGTTAGTTCCCAAAAAAGAAGTGGTAAAAATATGCTATAGCTAGAAAAGTTGTTATCTCCTAATACGATAAACCCGTACGTAAAAACTGATAAAATCATCAAATGAAACTTCGAATTTAATACTTTTGTGAGAAAGGACTCATTTTTTTGTAAAGTAGTGGTATTACGATTCTGTTCTTGTGTAAATAAATTAATAAAATTCTCGTTAATATTTGCTGTTTGATTTTGTTGCTGGAATTGTAAATTTCTAAAAAATACTTCATTATTCAAAATAGCCTGATCCCTTTCTCCAGATATATCGGGTTTGTTAAAGGAATTTGAAAAATTTGGTTTATTTCCTAAAAACATTTCTTCAGTTTCCATTTCTGGATCAGAAAAAGTTCGATGGGAATTACTTAAAGGTTTATCTATAGAAAGAGAAGATCAAATTTTAGCAATCAATAGTATTCTACAATAAAAATTGTCTTACTTTCTTTAATATTTTCATGCGATATTCTTCCGTTTAATTTCTCCAATCTTAGCTTAGAATTTTCCAAAATCTTACGGCGCCTTGCTTCCCTTCTAGCTTGTATATCTGATTTAGAGGTATCATTCTGTTCTTCGACCTGATATTCAGACATCTTTATGGTTTTTTTAGTTAATTATTCTATGCTCTGAAAAAATTTTGATGAAAGGGAAATTTTGTTATAAATAAATTAGTGTTAATATTTCCCCATAGACAGCTGTCAAAAACTGTAACTGTAACATATGGTTAAGTATACCCCAAATGTTTGAATTTTGAAATAGTGCAATTGTCACACATTATAACTCAAACTCAATAATTTTCTCTAGTGGCAAAAATAAACAACTTTAATTCAATATTGCAATTTGCGGTGTGAGTATATAGTAGCACGCTCATTACAAAAATTCATTTTTAAGAGTGACATTTTATATTGTTATTAATAAAGTGAAATAGTTAATATTTTTATACTTATGACATACAAAAATTTCGTTTACTTTTCATTAATTAGACCAAATTAGACTTTTCATTAGTACTATGCCGCGTGTTTTATTTCGAGATGTCGAAACATCGTCGGAAAGGTAGCTGCAACAGTAACAAAGTCTAAGTAAGTATGTTTTGTCACGACACAAAAATAAAAAAAAGTGAGTAAATATCGTATACTTGTATAATGTTATTTTCGAGTAAGAACAATTATTTGGTATTGTGTATCCTGTTTTTCTCTAAAATGCATACAAAATGTATTCACTTTGTTTTTGTAAGTGAGACGTTCAGTCGATAATTTGAGAAAAATGCAAAAATCCTATTAAAAAAATAGTACTCTTATTGGAAAAGTGAAACATCCATTAGAAAATACTAAGAAATCCAATTTGAAAGTGAATAGAGAGTGATTAAAAAAGCGAGATACACAATCAGGCTAATGAATTATATTTTGACAACGTCAATGTATATTATAAAATTAATGCAATTTGTCAAAAAATTAAACAATTTTTATTGGAAAAAACCAAGCTCATGTGACAAAGTTTATTATATTTTACTAAGATAACTGAGTTAAAAATCAATACGATCTCGTGAAAAGACCTGAAAACTAGTATTGCATGTGACATATTTTTAAAAATTGATTATCTATCGACCATAATATTTTCACGACATATTTTATTCATTACTTTAGCAATTCCGATAAATCCGCCTTATAAATCTAAAATCATAGGAAATAAATAAACTTGTTATCAGAAACATTTGATTACTATTATCTATTGAATGGAGTAGTTTTAAATGTTTTATGTGTTTTTGTTTCATTAACAAAAAATCATTTTTGACATTTGTGTAGTGTCATATTTCTTTCACCGTCTGCAGCGTGTGTACGTGCTACAATTTAAATTTAGTGCTAATACAAAAAAACTAATTATTTTTTACTAAATCAAAATATTCAGCAAAAAATGGCACAATTTGATTTAACTGCGAAAACTTTACAATTTCTGGATAGGCATTTAACTTTTCCACTATTGGAAAGTCTGTGTGCAAAGGATATTTATAGCAAAGAAGAACTTCTTCAATTTATATTAGAAATTGTTAATAAAACAAATATGATTGATTATACAATGGATACACGTAAACGCTTGAACTTAGGAGAAGACACTCCTGAAGAATTGCAACAGAGAAAAACCAAGGTTCTAGCTACATTGAGGGAACTTCATAATGAGGTTGCTCCTATTATGAAAGCTACTGAGTTATTAAAAAACAGTGACAGTATGAAAGATTCGAAAACTTTTGTTAATGTTCTGCAAAAGGATTACAATTTTAATGCAGAGAATGTCGAAAGTGCATACAAACTAGCTAAATATTTGTATGAATGCGGTAGTTATCGTGATGCTACTTCGTATTTGTATTTTTGCTTACTAGTCATGTCGACATCTGATAAAAATTATTTAAATGTGTTATGGGGTAAGTTAGCATCAGAAATTCTTAATCTTAATTGGGATTCTGCTCTTGAGGATCTGTCTAGATTGAGAGAATTTATCGACAGCAGCAATTTCACAGCCATAAATGCACTCCAACAAAGAACTTGGCTAATTCATTGGGGTATTTTTGTATTTTTCAACCATGACAAAGGTCGTGATGTTATAATTGAGATGTTTTTGTATAAACCTCTGTATTTAAATGCTATACAAACTATGTGTCCCCACATTTTGCGTTATCTAGCTACTGCTGTTATAATTAATCGAGCACGCAGGAATGCCCTGAAAGATTTAATAAAAGTTATTCAACAAGAGTCATACACATATCGGGATCCTATAACAGAATTTTTAGAATGTTTGTATGTAAATTTTGATTTTGATGGTGCCCGTATGAAGTTGCATGAATGCCAAACAGTTATTTTAAATGACTTTTTTATTGTAGCATGCTTAGATGAGTTTGTCGAAAATGCAAGATTGATGATTTTTGAAACATTTTGTAGAATTCATCAATGCATTACCATTAGCATGCTTGCAGATAAATTAAATATGAAACCGAATGAAGCTGAATGTTGGATTGTCAATTTAATAAGAAATGCTCGTTTGGATGCAAAAATTGATTCTAAATTGGGTCATGTTGTTATGGGAACTCAACCTTTAAGTCCATATCAGCAACTTGTTGAAAAAATTGATTCACTGTCAATAAGATCTGAAGCTTTGACTGGCTTGGTGGAGCGCAAACATAAACAGAAGAACCAAGAATCTGCAGATAGCTGGAAATACTATTATTAAAAAAAAATAAAGTTCACGCATCAAATCGTATATAATATTTTTACATTTAGTCCATGTTTATAATAAAAAAATGTGACTTTAATCTTTCATTTAATTTGTGTAAGATGATGTAAAAATTTTATTAAATTAAGAAATTAACATGATTTTTATCAAAAATTTTATTTGATTGATTTAATTTTGTACTATTCCATTCCATTTTAGAAGTGTTTACATATTGTAGAGTTGAATATGTATTTAAGATTACAAAAAATTTTTCAACTTTTTCTACTACATTACTCTATACACATGTATATATACATAATGCATGGATGTAAGGTATTACTTTGGTTTTAGTAAAATCGACTAAGATGAAAGATCACTTGAATTATAAATAAAAAGAAGAATAATAAGAAATTTTAATATCCATGAGCTTGATCGACTATATATTCTATTTTCTTTTCTTTTACTGTTTCGTGTCTTGTCCAACTTTTGTAAAACTATAATATCCATACTGAAAGCTAGTAGGTAAAATAAAGTTACACAAAAATGAGCTCTTTGGTTCCTTTAGCATTATTAAGAAACTATAACTACTGATTCAATAAGAAAGCAAATCCTTTAATTACACAAATTACACATTAAATGCAAAATTTTGTTTTAAAACACAAAATTTTTAATTTAAAATAGGCTTTTGAACCATTATTATAAACTATGTATTGTTTAAGCCAAAAAAGTTTAAATCTTAAAAATCTCTTAATACTAAACGTTTAAAATTCAAATTTGACCGCACATAAGCGAAACACTAAAAACAATGCTTTATTTAAGTTTATTCATGTCGTATATTGTGGGTGAATCACAATGACTAACTTTAGTTAAAAGTTTTTCAATTGATTAAGAAAGAACAATATTGGAAAAAAAAAGAAAATCGTTTGTGGAACACAAAAAACAATAAACTTTACTAAAAATTTAAATAATTTCATATAAATTGTTTTAAAATAAAATACATAGTAAGTAGATTTAATGAATGACTTCACAAAATTTCTCCAAAATTTTTGTACTCTATTTAGCACCTGTGCTTTGGATTATCTTGATTTTCTATTGATTGTCTATCTTTTCGGAGCTATAACGTAAATATCTACATGCTATGGAAGCAATATATAATATATGAACAACATGTATGCATATGATATTTAATTTTTTTCAATTTTAATTGTTTAAATTTCTTGATTTTCATTTCGCGTTAAAATTGTTATTTCAACTCTATGTCATTATTTTTCATGACTTCACAATCAAATTAAAAGAGTGGCTACAAATCTAGACGAATTTAAGAATTATTTCTCAGCTAGAGTTTTAAGGTGTTGCAGTATCAATATCAAATTAAAAATGAAGATGTTTGGACAAACGAAAACTGAATTGCTGTAATTTTAAATGAAAAGTTCAACACAAGCATATTTTAAGATGTTGTATTTTGTTTTTTTTTTTTTGTTTTCCTTTTAATTTAAATACATAATAATTAATTAATTAATAATTTACATAATCAAAATGTTTAATAGCTTAAATTATTTTTTTTTTTTTGCAAATTACACTTCTTATTTTTTTTTTTAATTAATTTTATTATATTTGAAAAATTTTTGAACGCTTTGGAAATTATTTATATAAATAGTAATTAAACGTTTTATATACATATTAAATATATTAAAGTTATTTTGCAATTTATTTTTAAACAAATACATACATTAAATTAATATGATAAATTTAAATATTATAAATAAATTGAAATAAATGAGTTAATGCGTTAATCAAAGTAAAGTACATACATCAAATGCTTTGTGTGTAAAATCGTTAACTCCAAAATTTCTACAATTATTTTTATATAAAAATAAGTTTCCGTACTAATGTACATATATGCATTTGTATGTCCACATCGGTCTATTAAATCTTATTGATCTTATGATTAATTCATAAAAATTCAATAACATATAAGAATGTTATTTAGTATGAATACAATAATATTCATTTTATTTATTCATAGTAAAATTAATTTAAGCACATAATGTAATTCATGTAATGTGAGAGTGGGAGTATACGTACATAATTATACTGAATTGAGATGCTATTTAAATTTTGAAATTTATGAAATATTTTGGAAATTTTGGAAGATTAAGAAATTCTACACTAACGCTTTTACAAGGTAAACCGTTAAATTATTTTTTAGATATACTTTTAATTTTATATTATTAAAGAAAATTTACAAAAAATGCAAGTTTTTGATTTCGATATTCTGTAATTTCATAATTTTATTGTAATTTAAATTTTTACTTTGATAAAAACTAATTTTTTTTTAATATTACAAAAGAAATTTAATATACATTATGTATGTATGTATTTAAAGTAAATTTTCGAAAAAAAAAATTCTAATTTATATTTTCTTTCACACAATAAATTTAATTAAATACAAATTGAACATAATAAAATCATTATAACAATTATAAGATTATTTTGTTTTTTAAATTTTATATTTTATTTTACTTAATCCTTAAATTGTTTTTAATATTTGCTCATAAAAATATTTTTTAAACCTCTTTATTTATTTTTTCTATTTTATTTATAAAAAAATATTTTTTTATTTTTCATTAATTTATACACAATGCTATATAAATGACTGTTATACATTATAATATTTTTTTACATCAATTTTAAAAAATTGCAAAATTTGTAATCGGATAATTGTACCGAAATTACGATCATTATATTATGTATTACGATATAACTAATGAGGTTTTATTATTAAATAGAATTTGATCGTGCAAAATTTTTTTTTTATTTTCTTATTATTTTTGCCGATAATTTTTAATATAATTTAACTTATTTTGTCAACTATATAGTAAGTACTCTTGCAAAGAAATTTTGAAAAATTCTATAACTATATAAATAAATTTAATAAAAAACTTGATTTTAACTGATTAAAGAATTCGGAAAATAAAAAATAGTGGAACGTGAAATATATGTATATTTTAAAAATTCGTCAAAACAAAAATTTTTGTTAAATTTGCCCAAGTATATGCATATTTACTTCAGGTATCATGATTATAAAAGAAGATATAAATAAAAATATATGTTATAAACGTAAAAAGGAAGACTGAATGGTATGAATCTATATACAGTCGATTTCACTTATTCATAATACGCATGTAACTAAGCAAAGCGCCTTCACGCGCATTTCTCTTTTTGCCCACATATAATTTTTCTAATCAAATGCGAAATGAATAACTTCACAATACAGATAGATAAGCAAAAAAATAATCTGTTCGAAATGCATATGTATATAAGTATTCGACTGTATGTAAAAGTAAATATGTAATGTAAAAGTAAATTCAAAAATGAATTTCAAATAAATTTAAAAAAGTAAAATTGAAAATGTGTAAGCAGCTCATACGAATTTATAGGCAAGAAATGAAATTTCTAAGATTGTTGTCGCATTATTCTTTAACGTTATAAAAAAAATACTTAAATATTGAGAATGTTTGCCCAAGAACTAAAATTTATTCATTTAAACAGATTTTGAATTTTTACATTGAATTCAAGTCGTCGAATATTAATTTAATGTGAAAATTGCCTACACATGAATTTATCAAATTATTTTATAGATTTTTTTTGAGCTCAGTAAATGTGTTAAATTGCATTGATCATTAAAATTATTAATTAAGTAATTAAAATTCACGGATTTGTGTGTTTCCTTCAAGTTTTTAAGAAGTTCAATATTTCATTTTAATTAAATTTATTATTTGCAATTTTTTAAAACGAATTATTTACTATGTATTCGTGTATAAAAATAATGATTTGATGAATTATTTGTAGACGATAAATTATAATAATAAAAAAAATTGCTTTTGGATATATATATATATATATATATATATATATATATATATATATGTACAAATGTACTTATATTATTCTATTTTAAATATTATTTATTATGTGGTAATTGTTTATTTTAAAAAATGTCTTCTTTTTTTTTGTTTTTCATTTGAAGAAAATCTACTTTTAAAATTTACTCTTAATATGAACACTAAATTATATTACGCGTTTAATTTTGTATTAAAACATTTTTCATTTTTTATTTTTCAAATATTTTGTAATTAGTATTTCAATTACCAAAATATTTACTAGTTTTAATTTTTAAATTAATATTTATATTTAATTGTTAATGTTGATGCTACGTTGAATTGAAAGGCACAAAGCTTTTTTTTTTTTTAATGACGGTATGTTTTTTTTTCATGTATTTCATTTTATTGGTTTTAATTTTTAAATTATCCAAAATAACTATGTATATACATAATTTTTTTGTTCTTTATTTCATTTTATTGACAAAATTTTAATTTAAGAACAATTTTCAAAATATTATGTAATAGTTTTCATGTTTCTTTTTTTTTTATTAAACCACAATCCATCAATAAAATCCTATCTTGCCTAATTCTTAAGTTTCTTCTAAAATTATTATTAGTTTTCTTAAAAAATATCTTGTTATTATTGAGTATGTATATCAATATATAAGTGTTATATATATATATATATGTACCTATTTATATAATTCCCAGTTTTCGAAGTATTTTTGGATATGAAAAATTAATTTAAATAAGTTAAAAACTCAAAACAGAAAATTCATCGTAATTTCCAGTCATGATTTTTTAACCATGAAATATCAATGATCTAGAAACAAAAAAAAAAGAAAACAAAAATTAATTATTAAATTCGGTGGAAATTTTTGAATTTTTTGTAAGAAAATTTGACTATTGCACTTCATACGCTTGGTGACCTTTTCAAAATTTATTTAATTTATATTTCAACGTTTAGCATAATCTAAAGATATCGTAAAAAAGCAAAAGCTGATTAAAATGTAGCTATAAAAAAAAAAATTATATAAAAAAAAGAAAAATGCATAATTTAGCATATTCATTTAATTTTTATTAAATTAAAAAACAAACAATTTTTAAACTAGAAATAATGAATATTTTATTGTGTTTAAATGAATAAAAAAAATTAATGAGTAATAGATAATGTTCATACAAACCATTTTACCTAATATTTTAGTACATCTGAATACAAACATAATAGGCCTTTTCATAAACGCAGTATTAGATACACAAATTTATTACTTGCATTCCAACTTAACTTTTAGGAAACTCCGATAAAATTATGTTCATAAACAAGATTTACTGCGATCTGGTTTTGTTCATAAACACGACTAACTTATCAGTAATATAATGAAATCGTAATTAGAAGCGCAATTGAATCCATGTCAATTGTTTTTGATTTTGTAGAATATGTAGTTAAAAATATATTGAATATTTATCACGTTACAATTTTATGCAGTATTGCGTTTATGAAAATTTCTAATATAAGATATTTCGAAGAACGTTTTGCAATTTAAAACTTTATTTTCGGATTCAAAGAGAACATGATTATGTATCTTTAAAATTTTCGTTGTCAAATTCCTTTTACATTCACTTCCCAAGAATTAGTTAACACTCACCATAAAAATATGGCTGTTCTTGACACAGCGGTTTCCATTTTCATTTAGAGCTTAGGAGATTTTTGATAACTCAATTTTTCAGTTAGATCTAATATAAAGCACGTTCGTTAAATCCAAACTTCAAAAATAGCATGTTCGAAAATGATACTTGTGCTTAAAATTCCAAATTTTTCTTTATAACTACTACTATAAATAAAAATATTTTTTATTATTTTATTTATATTAAGCATAATATAAAAATGTTGGATATTCAAAAATTATTCGAGTATGTTACAAATCAAAAAGTAAAATATTAAGTTTATGAAGATTTGTAAGTTCTTTACAAATGTAATAATTTTAATTTGTAATAGTAACATAAAAAAGCTATAAAAGCGCGCTAATTTTTTAATATTTTAAATAAACTGAAAAAATATTTTTGAATATGTATCTACAAGTGGATTATCAAAAATACCATAATAATTATGAACACTTTTCAGTTTTATAATTTTGAACACAAACGTGTAATAAGTTAATGCTGTGGAAAATTGGCAAAATATTATAAGTCGATTTTTTAATTTCTTTTTGCCTGGTTTGACTTTTTGAAGATGTAGTTTTGTTGCTGTGGATCATTATTCTGATAAAAATTGATTATTCTAGATTGATTAGAAAACCATTAGAAGTTACAATAAGTCCTCGAGATACGACAATTTTTGGTTCCAGAAATTTATGTCATAGATCGAATTGTCGTTTGAGGAGGAAAAAAAATGTATGAAAACAAAAAGTGAATTCGACAAACTATTTTATAATATTAATGAACTGTTTCTTAAAAAAAGGTAATAAAGTTTTAAAAAAAAACAACAAAATATAATAACGAACCCTAAAAAACTCAATTTTGGGACAAAAATAAATAAAATAAAATTTGATTAAGTTGATATATATCACTTCAATTCGTATTTTTAACTACTGACTAGCATTTTTAACTAAAAACAGTTCATTATTAAAATATTGTGCCTTAGTCTTGTCTTATAACTAAATTCGGTATAGAGTTTTTATTCAAAAAAAACAGTATTTTTAATGTCGTATCACGAATAATATCGCAAGCCGAATAATGTTCCAAATTTATATCATGTCGTAACTCGAAATGTCGTATCTGGAGGACTTAATGTATAAAATGCATGCGTTGATTAAGCTTTATTACATTTTTGGTAATTGCAAATGGTTTTAGGGAAACGTTATGAAATTTTACTTAACACGTTTTTGGCAATTTTCCATAGTGTATATACGCACGATAGGCTTTAATACTTTTATGTTATGCAATTATTTTGAAAATGTATAAGTTATTGGTCAAAAATTTTTAAAATTATTATTTATATTACTTAATCTTGTGTGCACCAACTATGTAAAATGTAATAAAATGCATGCAACCAATATTATTTGGTTAAAATTAAAATATAAAATAAATTAAAAACATTTTCGGAAAAATCATAAACGTTTTTTTCAAATTAATTATGTAGGTATAATTATGTATAATATGTGATTTAGGAAAAGAATGAACCGAAAATGTACTATTTAAAAAAAAAAAGAAAAGATTAAAAAGAAAAAACTAAAAATGCATTTTTTTTTAAATTAAAAAATTTTAATGAATTTTCTCTGAAATTTTTTTTTTGTTTTAAATATTTTTTTCTGTTTTTTTTTCTTGGTTTTTTTTTTTTTTTTTGTATTTTTTTAAGAATTGAAATCAGATTACAAATTTTCTTAATAGAAAGAGTTTCTTAAATAAAAATTATGTTTTTTTTTAATTTTTTTGTTTTATTTTATTTTTTTTTTATTTTTTAAATTGTATTTTTTTTTATCTATTTCTGTTTTCAATTTTTATTTTATTTTATATAATTATTTTATACTTTTAATTTATTATTTTTTATTTCTTTTTAATATTTACAATCAGAATCATCTTAATGCATAAAAAAAAACAAACATTTTCATACAATAACTTTGCCTTAATTTTCAAATTACACAATTGAATTTCTTACTTTCTTAAAGAAGGATAAATTATTTTTACTATTTTTTGTTGTTGCTTAAAAACTGCTTAATATTTTGTGTTACATACATATATACATATATATATGTATTTATATTTATAATATTTTATTATTATAGAATATTTATAAATATATATGTGTGTATTATTTACTTTTTGTATTTTAATTATTCTCTTACATACTCACAACTTAAGTTTCCCTCTACAATAATTAATTTGCTATTTACTAACATTCTATATGCCTTATTTATGTTTTGTTTTTTTTTTCTTCTATATTATACTTTTCATTTTCATTTTTAAATTTTATACACAATGATTATTTTAACCTCAAAAGAAAAAAAAACAAACCAAACAAAACAAAAAAAAAAAAAAGAACTTTTTCATTTGTACAAAAAATTATAAATATTTTTCATTTCTTTTCTTTAATATTAAAAAAAAATTTTGTTCCAAATTATTTTTTGAATAGTTTATTTCGTAGTAATTGAATAAAAAAAAATTAATTTTTACAAATTAAAATATAAAAATTATTTATTTTAAGTATATTAATTAGCAAGCGGTACTTATGCCGAAAAAATTTTAAATACAATATTGGGGTCTTCACTAGTTAGCGCAAAAGGTAACTGCCAACACAACAATTTATATGCAAAAAAAAAAAAAAATTCACTAGTGCATAATATGCTCTCCACGAAGACGTTGTATGTAATATTTGTTCCTCGAAAAAAAAATTTTAAAATTTACATTTAAAACGAAAATATTATTTTAATTTAAAAAATAATTCAAATTATAATTTTTGTGTGTTGTTTTATTAAAGATCAATTTGTGAATAACAATACATTTTCTAAAATATTTTCCGAACTATAAAATAAAAAACATATGATTGTCAATTTTGCATCGAAAATTTCCTTCGGTCATTCATTAGTTGGAGGAAAATGATTTATTTTGCAATACTGCACTTACTTCTCAATAACTAGAGTTTTGAGCAGGTTTAAGGTTTTAAAGTTAACAGTTGCGTACTTAGTATGAAAGTTAGAACTGAATTATCTAATAAAAATTCAATATTAATTGGCAACTTTTTGCGATGAAATTCCAAATATTATTAATTTTTAATTTGTTGTTTAATGATTCTAAAACAGATTTTATGTTTTGTAATCAAAAACTTAGGAAAAGGAAAAAATTTTTGTTTTTGACTAAAGTTGAACATATTCTTGTCCGCAATAATAAATCAACATTTATTTTGAAAAATATATCAGCAATTTGAATTTAAATTCAGCTAAAAGGTTTTATCATAAAAGTTAATTTACTTTGCAAAAATTTCAATTTATCTGTTTCAAATATAGTTTCAATTTATTATTATTTTTTTATAATTTAGAATTAATAATGCAAATAATTAAACTATGGATATTTAAAAAGTTACTGGAAAAAAAAATTTTTCATTAATTAAAGGTATTAGATATTAGTTGAACATTAAATAGTAAAAAGTCACTTTAAAGTTTAAATAAAAAAAATGTTTTAAAAACATCACAAACTTTTAATTTTAGTTTAACTTCATATAGTGATTAATTGTAATTAAAATGTTTTAAATTTTCTAAAAACAAATGATTCAAAAAAAATATATAAGAACTGGTGAATATGAATATTAAGAAATTTAATTATCGTATTAAGTGTTATTGAAAGAAAAAATATTGTACCAACTTGCTATATTAATAAAAATTATTTTAAATTTACAAATTTTTGAACATGAATTATTGAAATTTATGTTTTCTTTTTATATTTATAATTATGTACTCTTTTTTTTTATATAATTTATTTAAATTTCCAAGATCAATCTCTTTTGGCAGTGATTTACTGGTCATTTTCATTTCCTAATTAAAATTTTCAACTTGTTTTTATTTCTTATTTAATTATTGTTTATTTTTTCTTTTTACACTTTTCATACATTTTTTTATGCATTGTTCTTTTCATAAACATTTTTTGCTCCTTTTTACAATTACTTTTAAAAAAATTTTTTAATTATTTTTTCTGTTTTTTTTTTTTTTATCTTATTTTTAAGGAAGAATTATTAAATCTAATTTTAAAAAGAATGAAAAGAAATAAAAGAATTTTCTTTTGTATAAATTGTATTCTATCTATTGTTGTATACATGAAGTTTAAAACAACTTAGAATAAAATATTGATTGAAGAACTCATGTTATTTCCGAAACATATTGTTGAATAATGAATTGGGATTCTCTCTACTTGCGAAAGAACAAAAACAAAGAAATATTGTTAATTCAAAAAAAAAAAATCTATTAATTTTTCCATTTTTTTAAAACCATTAATTTGAATGTGGATAAGAACGCAGTGGTTTGCCATTGTTTCAAATAAATTATCAGCAGAGCTGAACGCACTTTTCTTCAAGAGGTAATGTTAACTTTCAATTTTTCGAAATATGGGTAAGCGTTATTTTTTTCATATAATTTTTGAAATCTAAATATTTAACTGGAGGAAAAAATTGTTTTAGAACAGTTTTAAAAGTTGTGTTTTTCCGATGGTTTATAAAACCAAGTAACTACTTTTTTTTTATAATTTTCTTTGTATATATAAAAAAATTGCTTTATTTCTGCCTTTTTTATTACAAAATCATGAAACCTCTATTTTGAGCTTAGAACGGCGCGCGGTTTTTCGCTGAAATTGAAACTGACAAAATCAAGAAGATCGAATTATACGATTATATTAAAATATTATTATACATTATTTTTATTTCAAATTTATATTTTATTCTTTTATTAATTTTTTTTAAAAAGCACCTACAGATTTTTGTTTTTCTTGTTTAATTTAAAATACCGATTTTTTTATTTATTTAAAAACTAAATTTTAAAGTAATTTTTGCGCTTTTTGTTTATTTTTTTTTACTCAAAATATTGAAAATTTGAATCATCTTAGTTTTTAATTTTTTCCCATCATTTCATTGTATAACATTCAGAAAAAAAAAGAAATAAAATTTTAAATTTTGTAATTTAAACCCATTGAATTTAATAAAAAATTTAAGTTGAGCGTATACCTATTAACTTTGACTTGCAATTTTGATTTTTAAAAAAATGAGTAATAATTATCAATGTTGCATTTGACCACGGTATGTTGTACCATGTGGTGATAATTTGCAAATATATATCTAAAAAGTTATTGACATATTCAAAAATTATTTCCTAATAATATTAGCTTTTAACCAAAAAAAAAATTATTCTAAAAACATTTTTTAATTGTTAATGATTTTATTGTTTCCTTGGTTGTATACATTTGTTAATACATAAATGAAGAAGGTGAATAATTTCAAATTATAATTAAATTAAGATATGATCCAAATTATCAATATTTTATTTACATATAAAATTTTTTTTTTTTGCTTAAGATACATTTTATTTTCATTCGATTAGTCTTAAATGATTATGGACAGTAAATACGTTTTGAGCTAAAAACGAATTATTATGTATGTGTATAAATATATTGCGAATGATTTTGTTTTCTAAATAAGAAAAAAATGTACATTTTATAGATAATTTTAGCTCTACTTTGGTGTATTAACGCAACCACTTTGTCGTTTTTTTTTTTCTTACTTTGTTTTTATACTATACTTAATAAATTTTCTATGTACAAAATTTTTTTTCTTCAATTTTCATAAAAGAAAATTGTATAATATAAAACACACTTTTTAAATATATGTACTTTTAATATATTTTTATTTTTTTTTATTTTGAGATCATTAATATATCGTTCTATTTATGCATATATATTTTTTTGCTTGATTCTTAAGAATTAGCTTATTTATAAGTATTATAAAATAAGACTAAAATAAGTATGTTTTTACACTTTTTAGTTATCTATATTTGATAATACATTAAGAAGTATGATTTAAATTAAATTGAAATGAATAAATTTTTATGACAAAATATCGCAATTGTCATGCTTATTTTACGATTAAAAATTTTCTTTTAAGTAAAAGTTTTTATTTACATACAATTTTCATTCTTATAATTTTCAATTTAGCTTAGCTGTACATTTATATAATTTTTATATTATTTAATTAACAAAATTAGTCAACCGGATAAAAATATAAGATTTGTACAAAAAAAAAATAAAATAATAGAGAAAACTAAAATATAAAATTTAAATATAATAACATACAGAAATAAATAAATTTGATTTTGTTTTTGTACAGAAATCTTTGAATGAATTTAATTGTTTAATGGCATTAAAACTAAATGAACATTCAAATACAATTGTAAATTATAGTAAAAGTATTATTACATTTAATGTAAAATCATTAGTTTAAACAAAATTCAACTAAAATTCATTTAATATTTACTTTAATATTAAACATTACTTATATTATTGCCCGGAGGTTTAAATATTGTGAACGCGTCATAAATTTGGGTTAACTCAGTTAATCTATATTCTTCTAAACAGACAAACCCTTGTAAATTGGGTGATTGTTTTCTTGAACAATTTAAACAATGTACAACATGCCGTTTTTCGGCTTCCCGTATGAAAAGAACGTTGAATACTTCAATCTGATAATAAGAAAACATATTAAGAATAAAACAATGCTTTGATTAATTTAATGTTAATTTTACCTCGCATTGACCACAATAATGAGATGCTTCATTTTTACCACGTCCATGAAATCTCACTTCAACTTCTTTAGATTTCACATATTCTAGAGTATGTATCACATTTTTAAGGGTTGACAACAAACACATTCTGAAAAAAGGTTTAGTATGTATTATCACATATAGATTTTAGAGATTAGTTCTACAACTATTTGTAAGTTCACACGTTTTCTAATCACAATAACTTGTGTTTTTTCATTGTATAAAAAACTATATCTTTTTCTTACTTTATCAATTCAAATAATTTTGGATCCGATACTTTTATATTTCTTGCCAAATTCCAACTTAAGTGGACCATTGGAACTATACTTTTATAGTTTTGTAATTTGTTCCATTCGTAACGTTCAATAGCCAATGAATACTGTCTTGCTGTTAATGGACCAACATTCCACGCAATATTATTGCACCAACCAACCGCTTGAACCCAATGGACACAACTACAAGTTAAAAATAAGTAAAAAGATATAAAACTAGAAAATTCAACAAAATTATTTATTATCATACAAACTTACCCTGCATTCACCCAAACAAGATCTCCCGGCCTTTGTATAAAACGATATACTGGAATGTTTTCCCTGTATAAATCTTCTAATACAGGCCACCAGGAGCCGTGCAAATAGTGAATATTATTACGTTCGCACAATTGTTGTATGCCTCCCCAATATGAGTCTGGTACACCAAACCATTCACAATCCCCCGGACCAATATTTATATTAATTGAACAAAAATTGTTGTTTTCTTGATGTCCCGGCGTACGACTTCCAGGAACTTTCATATATAATTGAACAGTATTCATGCCTAATATAACATGACCAACGTGAGAGAGCATATTAGATGCTGATATGACACGTGCAAATGCAGGTAGTTTTTGCAACTCTTGAAGTTGAACTTTCCATTTCTTTTCATCAGATAAATCGACATTAGTGCCAAATCTATTAAAAATTAAAAAATAAAAATAATTATAAATTAATAAATTATAAGCTTCACTTTTTGGTGTGGAAAAGCCTACTATCAAACTCCGCTCAATCGTAATATAAAACAAGTGGTGTTAGCGAATACTTTTCCAAAAATTGCTTTTGCATTTGAAATCTCAACAATTTACAATAAATTATTAAGTAAAGTATGATTCAAATGCTTATTCTTTTTAATTGTATATATCTACTATTTTGAAACTTACCTTAACATTTTATTGCCATTCTTGTTCAGTTTGACTTTTTTTGTTTTTGAAACATTTGTCACAGAATCTTTCGAATCTGAATCTGACATTGTTTGCACTCCAGAGTTTTTATCGCGTTCCTCCTACAAAAAACATTTGGAACATATTTAATTTATTTACATGCATATTATTTTCAAATAAAATGTACCTTTAAACTATCTTGAAAACTTGAAGCTTGATATTGTGCATATTTAGCTATAGTTGTGTGAGATCTATGTGATATGCATGGCCACACTCGTTTGCCTTGTGTTGCATCCCAATTTTCATCCGGTGATTGATGAACTTGTGTTCTTACTTCAACACTATGATCAGGATTTGCTTCCACTAGTGTTTTCGTCGAAAATAAACCTAAATCTAACTTTAACGCGCCAGCTAACCCTCTAACGACAGCAATTGGATGCTTTAAACAAAATTCTTGCAGTTGCGGACTAAACGCGTGTTTTTTGTTTTCTAAATGCACAGACGGTGTTGGAGGTAATAATTGTTCACGTGTTAACCTTTGTGGAGGGCATTCAGGAGGTATTGGTGGTTTTGCTTCTATTGATAATACTGAACATGCTGGTGGCGGGTCAAGTGTACCGAGTTTTTTAACGCCTTCTATTAATTGTTTGCTACTCATAAGTGTAGTAAAAACTGGCGGACTATCGTCGTCATCATCATCATCTTCACTACCAATTTTTTCAAATTTCAGATGTGATTCAAACTTAATTTCATCTCGAACGGTGGCACCAACAGATGATGAAAACATTGAAGACGATGAAGTCGAAGTAGCTTCACATTTTATGGGTGGAGATTTGTTTCTGAGGGTTGAGGAATTTGTTGGAGTTGTTGTTTGCATAAAATTGCTACTGCTATTTGTTAAATCACTTAAATCATCAGCGTCTAATTCTTCTTTAATATCTAAGCCATCGGACGCCAACGTTTTTAAAATATCTTCAGCTAAGTCTTTTTGTGACAATAAAGCCTGAAGTTCTTGATCTGTAACGCCTTTAAAAATAAAAAATTTTTATAAAATTTTACACCGTTAATATAAAACAAAAAAAATTTTTTTTTACTCTATCAGAATTACATTAATCTACACAATTTTCTTCAGTAGAACGAAAGTTAATTAAATTGGAAATCATCATTTAAAATTAAATTTTTCTAGGAAACAGAATTTGAGTATTTACCTAAATCATTATCATTTGACGGTGGAATTTGTGTAAAATCATTTGAATTTGATAATTCGTACAAAGTTTGATTGTGTTGATCGTTTAATTTAAAATCATTATTATTTGCTGATTTGTGTGGAATAACTGCGGCTGGCTGTGTATTTGCCGTCGCAGCTGAAAAATTGTTTAAATTAAAATTGGCATTTTGATCAGATTGTGGAGTTCGAACACCAGCAGTTGTTTGTGGTTGTTGGAAAACACCACTTTGCTGTATGATTGTCTGTTGCTGTTGATGTAATTGTTGCTGTTGTTGCTGCTGTTGCTGTATTCTTATTTGTTGCTGATGTTGTGTCATTAATCTATACTGATTACTCAACTGTTGATATAAAAGTGTTTGTTGAGGATTTAGATTACTCTGATTTTGTTGCAAAAATTGTAACATTTGCATTTGCTGCTGAGATAAATATATTGCGGGTTGTCCGGGTCTGTTACCGTTTGCGGAGTCATCATTCGGTTTGAACCTTTTTGGTGGAATTTGTGAATTGACCCCTTGATTTGGATATGGGGGAGGAGGTCCTTGTTGAGCCTATAAAAACAAAAATCCAGTTTTTATATTTTTTTTTTTAGACTTAAACTATTGTTATGGATGGTAGACCAGAATTCGAAAGAAAAAAGAAAAATGAACAAACCAATATAAAATTTTGTAGATTATAAAAACCAATAGAAAATTTTGAAACTGTTCGATTCCTGTGCAAGAGAAAATTTCATTTTTTGAATAAAGACTCTTAATAATGAAATCGATTAATATATCGCAGGGGGACATCAAAATGGTATTGAAAACTCAATTCGAAGTATTTTCTGCGAATATTGTTTCAAAAGTTTTTTTATATCAAGCAGTATTTTCTGTTCTATATTGACATTCAATTTAAGTTGCAAATGTTGTCTTATTTAAAAGGTGATTCTAACTTGAATGTAATTTCTCAGACGGTGTGTATAAAAAAATTATTAACCGAGGAATATTTTATATGAATATGTAAGTATTACTCTTATGGCAGGGTAGATTTTCTAAGATTCGACGGTTAGATCTCAAAAAAAAATTTCGCAAACCAAATTGGCACAAAAATTTTTTGGAATAAAATAATTTTCCGTGAAAACGTTGATGATGAATAAAAATTTAAACTACTTTTTAATCAGATATTCTTTCACAGAACATATTGTCTGTTATTGTTGAACACATTTTGAAATATTTTTAATATGTATTAACTGCTTAAAAAATTAAAATGCTTTCATAAATATATTGTGTTGTTAAGAACTTTACATTAAAGTTTGATTAAAATTATTAGTTTCCTGGGCTAAGTTCTTATGCTGTATGTTAGCAAAGAACAGAATAAGAAACTTGTTATTATATCGCAGTTTTACATCAGAATGCAACTGAATTTACAAACTGAAATGAGTTTTGCGAATGCATACATATAGTAAAATAAATTAACAAAAAAACTTCAATATACTCGTAATAGAAACAAACTAAATAACAATTCATAAATGTTTGGCTGATAAAAATAATTTTAGATCACAACCAAAATGGTCCACTGGTCCACTTATTAAATGTGTAAAAAAGTATCATTATTTTGCATTTTTGTGTTTTAATATTTAGTAACAAAACCTCTTGCTTTAATTATCGTTTTTGTATATTCTGGAGGAAATTTTTGCCATTCTTCTAATAAGGTTTTTAAATCATTTTTATCAAATATGTGATGTTTCCAAATTTCTAACTCCAATTTGTGCCACAAATTTTCAATTATGAAATGTATTACCGTTTCCTAGTTTATTAACACTTTGTTATAAATTATTTTTCAATCTGTCTAGATATTGATATTTCTCCATATTTCCCTCAATAAAATGTAAATTAGCAACCCCAGATATAACTCAATAAGCACCCTAAATCATTATATGATCACCACCGAGTTTTACTGTGGTTACTATATGCTGTGATTTCAGGTCTTCATTTACTCTTCTCCATCGGATTCAAACATATCAAATTTATTTTCATCTGTAAATAACACATCTTTCCAGAATGAAAAATCTTTCAAAATGTGTTGATGAGCAGTTCTACAGTGTAAATAGAACTCCCCTAATTCTTTAGGCATTACATTTTATTTTAAACTAGTCACGCACCATATCAAGAATATAAGGTGCGCTAAATTTAGTATTATTTTTTATTTTTCTAACTATCCATCTCTCATGGCTACCAAAAAAATTTACTCTTTCTAGGCTTATTCTCAATCCGATTTTCGTTACTACGTGTTCTACCTATAATCTTCATAATGTTTAATAACCAATTCTCGAATGTCTGCAGTAGTATGGCGGCCCAACTGCTGACATTGGTGATTTTCAATAATTCATATATGTATGCAATAAAGATTCTAACTTAAAAATCTTTTATTGCACCATTACAGATCTACGGGACCAACCAGTTTACATCTTCTGATTTGAAATATGCACATGTGTATGTACATTACATTTTTGTAGTCTTAAATAATTATCACGCTTTATATTAAAATTGATATTAAAACTGAATTTTGGAAAACCCTCATTTTTCGAATATTGTCAAATATTCATACAAAATTACATAAGTATGTAGACATGTATGTATGTACATAATTTTCAGTTATATAATTTGAGCAGTCAGTACCTTATACAAACATATTCATACCAACATGCCCAAAATTATGTATGAATTTTTCAATATGTTCATAGTACATACTTACAAATTATGTACTCTTATCTTAATTCTTTTCATCACCTTTTTTTACTATAAAATTTCATTTTTATTCTTCCTTACAAAAAAAAATTAGATAATTTGATATTTCAATGGTACATTTCTATGGGTATGTTCATACAAACGTAGCATGTACCTATGTACACATTAAATTAAAAATTTGACCTCTTTTGATTCCTATGGGTGTGCTAATATAAGGTACCTAAATTCCTATGTATCTACAGGTAAAACTTTGATACATTCATAGTTTAAAATAAATTTTATATTAAAAATTAATTATATATTTATATTCCTGCATATAAAATTCTCATAGGTTAGTACATTTTATGGTTTCGTAACTTACCGCCCAAGATAGCCACTGCCATGTGCTTTCCACATGGTGTTACTTTCACCTTTGTTTTTCTTCTTTTTACAATTTGCAAATCCATAATTTGCTTCGACTAACCATCATTTAATAAAAAATTTCCATGATTTACTTTTTCTCTTCCTTTTTTTTTGAACTTTTACAAAAATTCTTAAATTTTACTTCCATTTTCAATGAAGGTCACAATGTGAAAGAAAAATTTTTACTTCTTTTTTTTAGTTAACCAAAAAGTCAAAATGTAAAATGACATAAGAGCATAAGAACAGTATTGCCGCTATAATTAAATTTGGCTATATCAGTCTCTTTTCATAAATAAAATGGCTCGGTTATATGCACATATAATATGGAAGCTTGACATTCATTTTTTCCAAATAATTAGGTAATGAAAGCAAATTAAATCATAAAGAAATATTGAAAAGTTGTACACAGTAAAGCTGTGTACAACTTTTTTTATGATTTCATTTTTGGTTATCAGTTTTAATTTGCTCTTAATTTTTGTTACATATTTAGTTATTTTCGAGAGATTCTGCAAAGATGTGAGTAATTGATTCTCAATTTCAAAGAAAAATTGTAAAAATAATATAAAAAAATTTATTGCCAGTTTTATATAATTTTATCTAGTTGATCTTTTCACCTATTTTTACTTATGTGGCAATACTAGAGATTGTCACTTTGCTACACAGTAATACCAACGGCAAATATTGTGTTGATTTGGTTTAGAACTTAGATGTGCAATAATTTGTTCTAAAATTTTACATAATCGCAAATGACTGTTTTATTATTGGTATTTTGAGTATGGCTGTGAATTTCGGTACCGTATCAAATAAAATAGTTTCAGAAATTGTACGTATGGTCTTAAATATGTAAAATACATGTAGATGTAGTAGAGGTGGTGAGAAAAATTTGTCCAAGTATGAATGTATGTATATATAACTATTCAACCATCTTGGAAACACATTTCCTATTCAGAAAGGAATTTGTATAGACCTATTAAGAATATTAAATATTTTTAAGAAAAAATTTATGGATCCAAAAATTATTAAATAAGGGCCAAAAATCAGAATTTTTAAGATCACCAGTTTGGCCAGATTTACGATTACTGTAAATCTCCCTCGTGGGCAATGAAATTTAGAAAGCCAGTATTCAAGAGTGGTCGGTTAATTTTAGGTTTTTGTTAATTTTTTTTTTAAATAAAGGAGAGAAATGCAAGTATTTAGTAGAATTTATTTTATTTATATAATATTAAAATGTTTTTGAAGAGATTTTTTTGAAGGAAAACGAGATTATTTTAATTCAATTTTTTTGATTGTCTATTGTTTTTGAAATGTCTATTATTTTGTAAAATGTGTATTATTTTTTTAAATATCAACTATTAAAATTGAAAAATTTCAATGTTAAACAGCTGTAATAAAATATCGATTTTGACATTCCGAAAAATAATGTTGCCATTGCAGATTCATAATATCTACGAGTGAGATTTATAATTAATTAAAACTCTACGTGCGTAACTTAGTTTCAAACTCGGAGAATTCTATGAGAGAGATAAACAATAACGGTGGATATTTTTCCGAATCGAACGAAATCGTACTAGATCTTAAAAAAACTTATATAAGAAAATGTATTTGTATGACAATCTAAATAATGTATGTATATATTAAATATAATATTATATATTATATAATATATATATTTATATATATAATATACATATATATTAAATCTAAATAATATATTATATAATAAATAAATGTAATGCAAATTTATTTTAAAAACAGTAACTCACCGGTACATAACCTTTTGAATATTGCCTTTGCTGATGATGTGACTGGTTGGCTTGATGAACGTTTTGATGTTGTTGAATTTGTTGTTGTTGCTGTTGTTGACGTGAGCTCATTTCAGCTGATATTGGCAGATTCCAGGCCTCTTCTATTGAGAACAACTGGCGTCTTTTAGACGTTATGCTCGGCATAGGAGCTTGAGCTAATTGCGTTTGCAAGAATTGTATTCTTTGTAATAAATTTTGTGGCTTGCCACCAACACCACCACCTGTTGTTATATCCTTTAATAGCTGCTTTTTCGATAATGTTGATAATGATTGTGTATGTGATAATAAATTCGAATTATTAATAGATAAAGTTAATGGTGAATCTGAATTCTACAAAAGAATACAAAATAAATAAATAAAGTATTATTCTTTAAACAATATCTTGTATAAACTAAGAATATTGAGTAAAATAGGGTAATTATTGTAGATGTGTAACATTTGAATAGAATTTACTGTTGTTTTACGTTATGCATCAGAAAAATAAAAAAAAGAAATGTAACAAAATTTACTTAAATTGATTTGTTAGCTGGCATTATTTGCATTTGCGTAAAAAAATTCAATATAACGAATTGGCATACCGCACGTTTAACCACATTCGCTGTTTACAACGAAATTTAAATACAAAGATGTTTCTTTTTATTATTTTTTATTCTTTTAATCTACCATTGTTTTTGTTTAAATTGTACAAAAATGTATGTACTTTGTCCTGTTCTAAAGTTACAAAATCATCATTTTCAATTGTTAATTGTTTTATGTAATCCAACTCAATATTTTTTAGAAAAATTAACAAAACCAATTTGACGCTTATACATTTACATAGTGTCTTTAATTTGAGGGTATCTTTGAAGCAAGGCGATAGGGCTTAATTTGAATAAACAAAAAATAATAACATTTTTTTCGTTCTTCCCCTTGAATAGTGGTACAAAGAAGTAAGTCTCTTTGAAAAGTTTCGCTTTTTTACATTTTCTTTCGTGGAGTATATAAACTTATTTATATACATACATATATAAGTTTTAGCAAAATCTGTAATGTTATTTAAAAACACGAAATTTTTTAGTTAACGAAATAGAAGTATTTTGTTTTAATCGTTTTAATAGCATTTAATACTTGTATAATACAATATACATAAAATTAAAAAATTAGCTATTATTTTACAATAAATTTAGAAATTACATGTCTCTAAAGTGAAATGTAAGCCCAACTTATTAAAATTATTGCCAAGACGCCATATTATTTTCGAACAGATTTTGACCATTAAAAGAGCATTTTACACAATTTTACACAATAGGATGACGAACAAGTACTTGTAGTACCGAAGTAAAAAAGGAATCTTCTAAATTGATACACATAAATTTTTTTCTACAAGTCTAGAAATATTATTATGTTAATTTTACTTACTGAATCTAATGCTCTAGTCGCATTTATATAACATGCTAGTGCATCTTTTGGTTGACTACAGCTTTCATATAAAATACCTAAATTTGTCCACGCAGCACGATGATTTTTATCTAATTGCACAGCACATATATAAGCTTGTAAAGCATCTGTTGGTTGATTTTGTTGTTGATATAATACTCTAAAAATGTTTAATATAAATAAATTACTAAAATAAAATAATAAAATAAAAAAAAAGTAAATTTCCCTTTTTTACCACTTTAAACTTACCCAATTGAACACCAGGTATCAGCGTTACCTTCAGTTTCTTCTACAGAATTTCTGTATGCTATAAACGCATCATGAACTTTATTAATACTGGCAAAACATCTTCCTAACAAATATAATGATTGTCCTGATTTAGGATCAGATTCTATAGATTTATTTAAACACTGTATTGCAATAGAACTACGCTGTCTTTTTTCACCCAATGATTCTACACAATGATACATCCATCCTAAAATAAGAGAAAATATTATGAAATATGTAGTATAAAATATAAAATATAATTAATCGAAAAATACTTATTGAAATATTATTTTTCTTACTTATAAATTAATATTCAAACAGCTGAGGTTGCATTTCAATTTAATAAACCGAAATGCAGCACTTTTTAATAAAATAATTAATAATTAAATTAGCTTGGTAAATTTTCTTAGTCTTTGGTTTTTCAAACATAAAGGAAAACAAAAAAGTATTGAAAATTTGAATGCTATTTCTATTCATGTTGGCCACAATTATTTTTTATGTAGTCCATTAAAAAGTTCCTGAGCCTAATCAATATAAACAATAAATTTAAATGAAAATAATATTGAGATATCAAGTTGCAATGATCTCATTACCATATCGACAGATTCATACATAATTTGAAATTGGTTGCTTGTTGGGCTATTAATTGTCAAATATTAATATATAATTTTGAGTCCAAACAGTCGAATCCTATGGCGATTTTATGAAAAAAAACTCCAATGCATCATAAGAGCCTACTTACCATGTGGATGTACTAATTTTCTTTAAGAGAAAATATTGACTAAATTATTTATAAAATAACCGTGGAAACTTATTCAATTTCAATAACTAAAATAATATGCTGACACAAGTTACGAAAAATTCAAGCGATTTTAGCTACATTTTCAAACTACTGAATGACAAGATGTTGCAAACTTTATAGATTTAAGATGTTGCATTACTTAAATTCAAAATTAAAAATTTCTTATTAAAAAAAAAACAATTTTCAAGAATAATCGTAAAATTTATAGGATACTACGTTATTTTCTAAAAACAAAAATATGTCAACATAAAATTGTAGAACAATTAAGAAGCAAGGACGACTTTTATTTATTTTTTTTATTATACTTTACGGAATAAAACTGGATTCTAATTTTTTTTTGTTCTTCTTCTTGTGTTCTTATTATTTTTTAATTGTGTGACCTTGTGTTTTTTTTTGTATGTGATAAAATATTCTGGGAAATTTTGCATGCCTTTATGAGCACAATTTCTTATTCAATATAAAAGCAAAGCAATTTTTTTTTCAAAGAACAATTTAAGAAAATAAGCAAACAAAAAAGAAAAAAAAGGACGATCATAAAACATAATTCTTATATGACGAGTAACGGCTGTTTATACAAAAAAAGAAGGTATGTAATTACAATCCTTTACAAAAAATAATACTTTTTTTTTTGATAAGTTCTTCTTTTAGGATAAAAATAATCAGAAGAAAAGCCAGTCATATTAAAAAAATATGCATGGGTATATTTATACAATATTATTTAAATATTACAAGTAATTTCGTAGACATATACATTCAGGTACAAATATTATACGTAACATTTTAATATCTAAATAGTGAGTACGTACGGAGTAGTTTTGAAAAAAATACCATTTTACAATCGATAATATTTAAGAAATAAATATTGTTTTATTGTTTTTTAATTATAAATAAAAATTGATCCTTGTTAAAGTAAAAATTTTTCCTTTTAATTTTATTAAAATGGAAGAGAACAGGTTCTTGAAAAAGAAAGGCTTGCAAAGCTTGTCGTCACTGAAATTATTATTTTTATTTCATCCTTGAATTGTTTTTTTTATTATAGATTTTCAGAGAAAAAAATTCAAAAAATAATGCATACATACTTGAGTAATATAAAAAGAAAAGCCCTAAGGACGAAAGGGTTAAAATAAAAATTAAACGCTCTAATTAACGGTACGATCCAAGTTAAATAGTAAGGATTTTGTACAAAGTCTAGTTTAAAAGTGTCTTAGATAATATGAAATTAATGCACTATTTAATGAAAATGGCATGACGCAAAATGACATGAGTAAAAATTAAGACGTTGATTAAATTTTTTTTGCTTATTTTAATACGCAAAAGGTTGTTAAAGAAATCGTGCAAGTATATCTGTTATTCATTATATATCTCAAAAATTTTTACACAACTTAGCCAATTTAAAGATAAAAAAAAATCTGATGTTCATCAGCACATAACCGACCAGAAGTTATATTGTTTAGCTTAGCAAAATTGTTACACAAGATTATGAAAATGCATTAGAAGAAGTACTTTCATATTTTAAGAATGCTGAGAAGCTTTTAGTAAAGATACATAGAAAAGCGTTCTTTTTCGATTGGTTAATTTTCAATATTGGTTCTTTAAATTGGGAACTTTTAAATTTTATGATTGGATTTTAATATTAGAATTTTTGTTTAAACAATAATAAATAAGTATCCACATGAAAACCTTAAAACTTATTATAAAACATTATCAAAAATTATGAAATAAGCACTTACCCAATTGACGAAATAAAAGTGCTTTTAATTGCGGTGTCAGCTCCTTTTCAGAGAGAAGCTGTTCATAAGCTTCTTTAGCAGCTTTATGTTTATTTTGTACTTCATACAGATGAGCAATATGAAATCGTACTGAAAAGAACAAAACAAAAGGTTGATAAATTAAATAAATAATCAATATTTTAAAAAAAATAAGAACAATATTTTTATATGTTATTATTAAAATTACAGGAGAATCCGAAAAAAAAGACCTGTTACATAAATTTTAATATTGTTTTAAAATCATAGAAACAAATTCTACTTCTGCAAAAATATTTATAATTTCTGATATTTTAGTATATGTATATGTGTGTTTAATATAAAAATTCACCCTTATGAATAACATTTAAGAGCGCAGAGTAGTATATGCAGTTTAACGTAATTCGTACATCAAAAGAAAATAGTAATAATTTCCCACGAGTCACCCTAATTTCATAACATATGATTTAAAATATACAATGTATGTCTATATATGTATATATTTTATTTTTTGCTATAAAATTATCCCAATAGAGAAAATATTAATGTAGTAAATATTAATCAAGGATCAAAAACTATACTGAAGTTGTTATTTTATAATAATAATAATAAAGTAAAAATTTACCACACACAGACACCGAACAAACACCTTTTTTTATTTTAATAATATTTAATGTGAAAAAGTAATATTAGAAGGGTAAAAAATTTTAAAAAATAAAGTAAGTCAATTCTAATTCATCTCATATTGTGGGGATAATATTTGAGCAAAAGTATGAATAATAAAGAAGAAATTTTGAATTATATTTATAGGAGATATAAGAAATTGATAATAATTTATTAATAAATAATTTGTTAAATTTTAAAACTACGAGTATTTTTAAAAAAATTTAAAAATTTAAAAATTTGATGAAAATTATATTGAAGTAACTCTGACTGATTCCATATCGAATAGCATGTGTGGCTTTATTAACTTTATTGTTGCTCCATAATCCAAAATTTTATAATATAAACTTTTAGTAAGGAAAAATTTACTTAAAATTAGAGCAAAGAAATTTGCGAAATTTGCAAAAAAAAAGTGCTTTTAATGGTTCAGATTTAGAAAGCAATCACAGTAATAGGATCTTCACAGTAATATTTCACTTTATTATAGAGGAAATACATGTAGTTAGGACTGTCATAATATTTTGATTATAGAATAAATTCTCTTGAATACGCAAACAATATTAGAAGAGGATTGCGACTGTTTTTTTGTATTATGTACTTTAAGTTTAAATATCTGTATTTCTCTAACTCTTGTATGCTATCAAAGTTAAAACAAAACCTGAATAAAAAATTAACATTACTGTCCAAAAATTAAAGGTAAAGGTATTATAAATTTCTTTGTAATATTATAAAATAAAGCCTTTGATTCAAATTAACTTTACTTAATTGTTAATTTCTGTTATTAACACTTTTGATTTCCTTCCGTATAAAGTTATTCCTATACTTGATTATATGCACATTCTAATGTGCTATACAAACTCATTACTAGTATGTATACATGTGTATATTATAAGCATATATACATATACATATGTATATTTAAAGTTTTGGAATTATTCAATTTAAAATTTAATTTCCTTATTAATTTTTAAAATCCATTGAAATTCTGTTTCATGTACATACATACATACATACATGAAATAGAATTTCATTTCTTTTTTTTGATTATTGAAATTATAGCAATGCAAACTAGATTGTAATCGCGGTTAAATTCATATACGATAATTTGAGATATTTTATTGTAATTACATGAATATACCTTTGCCTACATGTACATATATAATGTTGTATTATATATAAAGGAACGCATTAAATTAAAGACACATAAACACGTTATATTCATTATATACATACATATGTATATAAAAACGTAAACATTATAACTTGTATGATTATTTTTTTGAGTCAACATACACAATGTAAATTTCAAGAATTTTTATACACCTGATATTTTTCTATACAATAAATTTTCCAATTAAAAGGTCAATTGCCCTCCTAAATTATCTTTATGTATATGTACATATATATGTATGTATGTATGTATGTAAATGCATATATAGTTTTTTGTATTATTTTTATTTCTTGGTTTTCTATATTACGTACTTCTTCTGTAAGTAAAATTGGATGTAGATTGTAGATAATAATATGTTCATATATAACCTCATCGGAATATAATAAAATTACGTTAATAACTTAAATTACATATTTTTCTTCTTCCTATTGCATTTTGAATAAAAAAAAAAATAAATTTTAAAATTTAGCTAAAGAGTATATAGAAAATTGAAAAGAAGTTAAGTGAAAAAATGTTTCACTTACGGTATATTTACCAGAGGATATTTTGTTCGTTCACTTTAACTGCTTTTCAAATTAAGATTATCGAATTTTAGTTCTATAAAAAATATGTATGTAGTTAAGTTGTATGTAAGTGATTCTACTTAATCTGAAGCTGGACAATGTAAGTATATAATATGTATGTACATTTATATAGTTTTAAATACGTGCATATATTTGTATTTTATAATTGAACCTATTAACTACGAGTTACAAAATCGTAAAAAGAAGAGGTAAGTGGACGAAGGGGTTAACTAACATTTTGACAAAAATCGTGCTTCTCAGATAGAACATCATTTAATTTCATATATTTTCAACTGTGATTACTCTTGTAGCTAGAAATTTAATATAAGAAGAGATTGACAGTGCACATAAGATATAAGTAACAAAAAAATTAAAAAAGTTTTACAATTTGTTAATGAAAAAGTGTGTCACAATGCAAATGTAAGCTAACCCCTTTGTCCACTTACCACTTATTCTTAAAAACTTTTCTTCACAAAATTAAACATCTATTGTTATTTCACGCAATGTCGAAGAAATAGGGTTACTATATTCCAAACCAGTTTTTGGAATTTGAGTGGAACTGAATAACTAATAAATAATAACACAAGTATAATAAAATAATTATTAGGTAATAAGTATTAACTAATAAATAATTTTACATGATGGCAGTACAACATATTTATTTTAATTAGATAAAAAAACTATTATGATTTTTCAAACTAGCATCAACATTAAGAAAATATGGACGAAAAGATAGTTTCATTCTTATAAACTTTAAAATATTTACAAAATTTAATACACTTATTAGGAATAATAAATCTTACGAATAATTTTTATTTTTCTATTGGTTCATATTAAAACTTTTAACACATAAAAATCTAACAATTTCACTTTTAAATCATATACCTACATACGAGTATATATTTTATGACATAAAAGTGAATTTTTAATGACAATAAAATAAAATTCATTTTATAAGGCCATAAACACAATCAAAAATATTAATTGGACCACCTCACCTTTAGCAAAAACATCATTCAATTTTATTGTACACAAAATCAATAACTAAAATCGATAGATTTTGACTTCATTTTTTTCACGATAAAGAACGAACCTTGTTTTAAGAAATTAAGATGAGCAAGATAAAAATTTATTTAAACAAAAAAATAATATAACAAAAAAAAAAAGAATAGAATTTTCCGGTATGAAAATAAGGGAAATTACTTAAATAATTTCATTCCCGCAACGTATGTGTGTATGTACATACCAATATGCCAACATTTCCATCCGGTATAAAAAATTTTTTTTATATACATAAGTAGATACATTCATACATAAAATTGTAACAGAAACACAACAATAAAAAAAAGAACATTCATCTTTCCTCTATAAAAAAAAAAAACACAAAAAAATTACACTGTTTCAAGTAGGTATAAAATACAAAATGTATCAAGTGTAAGAGAAAAATAAAAAAATGTTCTTCTTCTCCACTTTGCTTCTTCTCCACAGTTCACATAATGAACGGTATTAGTACGCTTAAAAAAGTGTATTAATAGCGCAACTTTTTGTGCTGTCACTTAATTTTCGATCAAAATAAATTTACTTTAAAATTTTTTATTAAATTTTTCTAATTCAGTCAACTATACTTTGTCAATTCAATTACCAATAAATACACATGGAATGAAAAAAGACTTCTACGAAAGTAAAAAATGAAAATATAACGTAACGTTAATATTTTTGACATAGCAAGTAAATTCTGCCAAAAGCTTTTCTAATTATAAAGCCTTTTTGCAAAAGCAATACAAACAATCACATACATATAAGTACATACGCATATCAGTTGTCATTCTATGGCACAAAACAGATAAATTGTGATTTTGCTGAATTACGAGGAAATTTTTATTTGGAAATCATTTTTTTCCCTATTGGTCTTCGTCCCGGTACCGTATTAGCAGTTTTTAGATTGTTCTTTTGACAAACTATATTGTACACCTTTTCCATGTGTATAAAACTCCCAAGTTATGATCAAAAGTTCGTTATCAGAGCTGAATTAAAAAAAATACAAAGAGCTTGATACGTATACATAAATATATGTAAGCTCATGCTAAAATATTTTTAATTTGGAATCAAAAACCAAACACATCGAACTAGATTGTAAATTTTAAATTAATTCAAATGTTTTATTTTTATGGTTTTATACTTCAGCTGTTTCCAAATTAATTTAAAATTTGCAATGAATGCTTGACTCTTTTCTCACTAAGTTATTAGACCTTAGATAGTATTTTAATTTAAAAATAAATTCTACTCCGAAATTTAAAAATATTAATGACAATACTTCCAAATATTATTGTAATTTTCTGGGGGGGACCATTGCTCTCCTTACTTACATAATTCGGTGATGAGAGATTTTTTTTGTTAAATTATTTAAAACCGAAAAAAAAAAATGAATTATGTATGTATGTATGCATGTAAATATGAGCAGGCATAAAACATGAAAAAGAAAAATAAAGAAAAAGATAAAGTCAAGACGAGCAATAAAGTACAATATTTACATTTCTTGTACATTCATTCAGATACACAAAGGTACTAAACTCTATATTATGCATTTGGTTTGTATGGATGTATGCATATACGTACTGACGTACATACATACATAAATTATCAAGTAATTTTATTTTTATTATTTTTGCTGTTTTTTTGTTTTTATTACATTCTACGATTTTATAGCACGTACTGTT